GGGAGCGTCACCGTGTCTGCACCCTGAAACTCCGAAGCTTCTGTAGCTGCAAGCTGTGGTCCGCTCCTTACATTAATCCAGCGTTCTGATCCTTGAACAACGCCTGAGTCGGCTGTGGAGACAATACGTCTGAACCCTTGTCCTGAGCCTTGTCCTTCTGAGTACTGCGAAGTTCATGGTACCTTCGCTGCTCGTGTGTGACACCCATACACAAGCTCATCGGCCATGAACTCCACAATCTTCAGCCGCCGAGGCACTTCTTGTTCATGGCCTGCAGTGAATTGTTCAAGTGTGTATGCTTATGCTAGATCTGATCGCGCTATACATGCTATGGATACTTGCTGATGCAGGTTCAAGTTTAAGCGAAAACATTCATTGCAAATTGTGGCGGTCAAGCTTTGGGTATTGATGTGAAAAAGCCGTATGTTGCTTCGCGAGTCCACATATCACGGGCTCTTCTTGTTGTGCTGGCTGCGCGTTCCAGGTCTCGTGGGAGCTTCACGTAGGTACCGTTTCAATTGGTTGTCTGAAGCCTCCTGGAATATCGTGCGAAGTTCTTCCTTGGTCCATTGGAATGCTGTAGTTGAGATGCAGGGACAGGGACAAGGCTGCTGGTTTGTCTAGGTCCAGAAACTGAAGGTTCGAGCTTGAGATTCTCAAACCGATGCCTGATGGCTCTAAGTTTCTTTCGCTCACACACAGCAGCTTAGCAAATTGCTAAGTCTTAGCGCTTCGTGGCCGCACACACCTTTCCCAGTGGGTAGGACACGAGTTGCAAGGCAATTCCGGCGGCGGAAAAACAGTTGAAAGGCTTTGTTTGAGCCGCAGAAGCTCTGAAAAGCCCTACGCAGGGATAATTCTGAAGCGGGCCTTCATCACCATCTTGCTCAACTTCTGAATCTCTTTCGACAGTTCCTTGAGCTCCTGTCAGCATCGACAGGGTTCTCATGATTGTCAGTCTGGGCCCCGTCGGGTCGTCCAAAACAGTGATGAACTTACCGCATGTGGTAAGCACTGGAGAAAGTAGAGCTAACGCTTCATGGTGCATGTGCGCACTAGGTCCTTCTGAGCAGCCTTCAGCTCAGGACCAGGGGAGATGTCTGAAAGGTCCTGAGAATTTCACGACGGTTTTCAGAGGGCTGCTTCAAGGCATTTCAAGGCATTCTTAGGATCCCATACAAGTTGCCTCACAGGTGTGAGGTGGAGGTGGAGGTCAAGGGCTTAAGTCAAAACTGGAAGATCACAAGATGGTTCCCGGTGCTAGCTGATGTAGTTTCAATCGTCGCAGTCAGCCATGAAGGTCCCTGGGAGGGGCTGCTATCCAGAGCAGTGAGTCCAGCCGCTTCATAAGTTCACACAAGACCACGCCCAGAGGGGAAACGAGGCGTCAGAACAGCACAAGCCGGTTCACTTCTGTTCACCCAAATCCGTTTCTTCGGTCAGACAGCACTTTTTTTGAAAGCAGCAAGGGAACTTGCAGGAAGGCTTAGGACGTGGGGGAAGTTAAGAGCCTTTTCCTAGCTCATCTCTACATACTGCATGCTCTGGGCCGGCCCAGCTGCCGAGGCGGGTTTACAATGAAAGGCTGTGTGTTCAAGAGATTAAAACCGCATTCAATCACTTCAGAAGTACCCGGCTTCACCAACATGTCCCCAAAGTACATAACTAAGTAACGAACAAGATGGGGACGGATCCGGGTACATGTGTTCACTCGGCGGGGTCTACGTGGAGGGGGCCTACATACCTCAGTGTACCTGTGGGTTTGGGGACCATTGTTCAAGATTTAAGATCCCCCAAGAGCCAGTCGTGAGGAGCATATTAACCTTATGTACGGTTTACGGTTCGAGCTTAGATCCCATGATGCGTATAGCTTGGAGGTTGATTTTTTGGCTTCCACCCAACTGAACGTAAAGGCCACTTTTATACACATTGCACATTCCTCAGCGCACTTCCCACGCCCAGCTGAAACACGGTTCAAAAGTTTGCGGTTAAAGGATTTCTTTTCCTGTAGCCTACAGAACCTGTCAAAGGATTGTTTTTCTAAGCAAGGAATCCAGTGAGCAACTCAGTACAGCCCCGAATATTGGTTCTTTGGGCTGGAATGCAACGCCAAGCTGCACTCAGCTTCTTGTCGAACTTGCTGATCAGTGAGTCGTACTGCGAGTGGTATTCCTTCTCAGCCTCCTCCCTTGCAGTGAGTTGCAAACATCGCTTGCCATTCTGGGCCACAAGTTAGCGTGCAAAAAATATTGCCGACCCATCACTAATACCACCGCAACATGCATGCAGCTCGACTATGGGGGAAACTTCTTTCATAAGCAGGGACGTTGACACGTTTACAAGCGACTGGGGCAAAGCGTCGGTAACTTGGCTTGGTTTGGGCATGCGACAGTTCAGGGATCCCTCTCGTAGCACGCCAACTCGTGCACCTGCCCTAAACATTCCCACGAACATCCCTGAAACCTAAACACACACACACACACCACTCACAGAACAAAAAACACAGTATGTAAGCCTGTTATGGTTGACACGTAAATTGCCTAAAGATGGCCGAAGCATGTTTACGGTGTTTGACTGGTCCCAGGTGCTGGATCTGGCTCGCCACAGACTCGGCCTCGTCCGGCTTCTGCGCAGAGCTCTGGATGCCCTCGCTTTCGCGTGCGGTCGTTGGGCTCGATATCACGTACAGGGGACACGCAACCTGTGATCCGAACGTTGTTATTGCTTGTCGCCGCGAACATGAGGAATCTATGAGCACTCCCAGCTCAGTCTTCCAGATCCCAACATCTAGGCCGTTGCGCGCAACCGAGATCCCCAGGAGATACCAAGAGCAAATCATACCTCGGCCAGCCTCGAGCCAACTCTGGAGTTTCTCGAGCCTTGGCAAGCCAGCATTGCATGCGGACTCGTGTCGCCTCTGTTGCCCGAGCAACCCTTTTTTGCATCCGGGTTATGATGTCACCCTGAGACCCGATTCCCCCTTCAATCCAACCACATGCACCATCCTAATCCCTAACGCTAAGCCCCTTAGCCGATTATTCGAGATGCTTGTCGTTGGCGCTCTTCAGGGTCTCGGAATATTCCTTCTCCACCTGCCGACAAATCTCTTCGCATAAGAGTCCCAGCAGGGAAGATATGGCAGTTGATTTAAACTGCTTTGCCCGGCAGTGCATCTTCGCGAATAACCATTTTTTTCGCGGAGTTTTTGCGCGCCTGACCACGGGCACCTCTGAACCCTATAACCCCTAAAATGAGTCCTGGAGTTTTTGTGTCTGCAGCTGTGGTGGTTGTTCGAAATTCCTTGAACAAGAGAAATAGCCAACTTTCGCGAAGCGTGTTCCTTTCGCGCCTTCTTTCGCGAAACTTTTCGGAACCCATATCTGGATGTCGCCTTATCATCAAGCATCAACATCGAGAGGTCTGGCAGCTCTCGTGGGCCTAGGCCTCTAGCCCAGCCTAAGGCATGCGTGGGTGCTTTCGTGCAACTTTCGTGCAGTTTCCTTGAACGAAGCCTGGAACAGTTGAGCTGCGCTTGCTTGGTCGTTTGAAAAATTCAGCTGCATCTCGGCCACAATCCTACCAACATCTGGCAACTTCGGAGCCTGCAGCCACAGACGATAGCTTCATCTTGCCTCATATAGCCGCTGGTGTTCGGACTCTCGGGGAAAGGTGCATTCTTTTCACACCTTTTTCGCGCACCCTTGAAACAACAGGTAGCCCAAAGTTTAACCGGAAGACACGGAGCTTTAGAACAGCATTCATGTAGATCCTCAGCTGTGGCGTGAGGGTGGTGAGCTTAAGATTGAGTTCAGGACTCAAGGGTCAAAGGAGGGCTGGGTCTATCCAGGATATGTCAGGCTTTGGCGGGACTGTCGCGGAGCTTTCGCCAGTCTTTCTCCAGATTTTGCTTCTCGAAACGGATTTCTTAAACTGGGCCAAGCGTTGACTTTCGTCAAACTTTTCCCAACCCAAAAAATGTACGCCTCTTCGTGGATCTGTCGCGGATTCTCACATGTCATGGAAATGTAGATTTTGCATAACTTCCGTAGAAGGACTCTTAGACGATCAACACCCACATCCAGCGGCAAACAGTGCTCAGGAGAAAACAAGAATGGCCCCACCGCGACATTCTACCGAAATTCTCCCCCACCCCTCTCGAGCCTGCTGATACTCGGAGAGAGCTTCCTTCTGCGCCTGCTCGGGGCAACTCTTCCAACCCGCCCTTGATCATGGTGCAGCACGGACCGCCGTGCGGTTTCGGGTTTTGCTTGGAAGTTTAGAGGCCATACAACCACACTGGCGCTGACCGCTATCTGCCCTCTCGAAATGTCCCCTCAATGCCCGGAAGCCCTCCAAGGCTTGGTTGGATTAATGAACAGCGGAATCGAGTCTCTCAAAGGGGATCTCCACCGAGCTCAGGACAAATAGGCTGCAGAGGATCGTCATAAGATGATGGAAGACTCATCAGGTTATTGATGATTTATGTGTGTGGAGTGCGCTATAGTGTGCTGTTGGTGCGGTCCACATCCAAAGGCGATGTCCGCAGCAGTGGCCGGGGCGCCTCTGTCAAGGGCTTGGTCGTTGTTGATTGCGCGGCAACCGACACGACCAGCCTGAGTTTGCTGGGGTGGACATGCACTGCAAGGCAGAGGTGCGGCTTCTCAAAGCTCAGGATAAGGATGAGCTTCTTGAGCCACTCTGACTACAGCTGCTCACTTACCACACTTGACGCCAGCATGCCTGCTCCAGTCTAGAAAGCAGAAGATGGCAGAGTTCTTACACGCAGCCAAGCCACAGGAATGCTGCACCCAGCATCATCTCGGTGCCGGAGAGGAGGTGGCAGAACGCACCGCGGCAGCTAAAACCAGCTTGAGAATGAAGTGCGGCACCAGGTCCGTCAAGCTATGCCGAGGCATGCTGGTAAGATCATGGCAGATGTGCAGGTACGAGGATGCCAGGGTTAAAAAAAAACAAGTATCGGAAATTACTTGGCTCCGTGCGGCCACCCACGGAAGCGTCTGCCGACAAACGGTCGACGACTCGAAGCATGCCTGGCACTTGTGGAGCACCGGCAGTAGCAAGAGAACCAGCCGTGCGTGCAATGAGGAAGCAACGGCAAAGAAAACCTTGTTGAAGCGCAGCTATGATATAGTCGCTTCCCTCGATTGCTAAGCCTACGTGCCTGCATCATGAGACCTGAGCAGGTATTCCCCCATGCACACGGCTCTGCTGAAGCACAGGCCTTCAGCCACGTTCTCCACGTAGTTTGCATCGATTTTTGGTGGATGTGCGTCCTGGTCACCTGTGCAGCATTCAAGATACTTCGGTTTGAAAGTTGGGATGAAAAAGGCCGCTTGTCATGAGGAGGCATGCTGCCGGTGTATTCGGAGCCTGGCTCGCAGTCTACAAAGAACAGCAATAGCATGTTTGAAGGAAGATGAGCATTTGGAGGTTTCGGGCCTCACCGAGGAGAACAGAGTCGCAGAAAGGCAATCTCAGGACGAAACTAGTGCAACTAGTGCAAGCTGGCCGCTGATGTCCAGGGACAGTCGGAACGGCAAGCGACGGTTCCAGTACTGGTCGTCGTTGTCCCCATAGACCTCGGGGCTTCTCTGTTGTCGTGCTTCAACTGCGATAGATTGGCGATAAATGGGCCTCCATAGCTGTTGGGAACTTGTTTTGGCTTCCTGTGACATGGCTAGCAAAATTTCCGTTGTAGGATGATGGGAGAACTCCAAGAAATTAAACCATTGTACAGTCAGACCACCCGCGTCTCAACTAGAAATCCCACCTAAACGATAGTCATTCAGCACTGTACACACAAAACGGCCCATCACATGCAAGTCGCAAGATAAGCTCAATTTGTGTTGGGGCATAAGGACCGACAAAGGAATCACTTGGATCTCTTGTCCGTGGCCTTCATTTTCTTGGAGCTCATTTGGGCATCCATGGGAATTCTGTCTGGCAAGACTTGGGTTTTCGTAAGAAGTTCTGGCATCCCTGGTTTTCAGATGTTTTCAGTTTGCCTTAACTCTGCCCCCAGTCAAAAACAGTTGGGGCCCCCGGCGCCGCCAATGCGAATGCTGACGGTTCGCATTCCGCTCGCAGAATGCTTCTGAAGGATAAACCTGGTACAGCGTTGGGCATCACGAAAAAACATGGCTGGCTGGCATCAGCCTGCTGTTGGTACGATGATTTCAGGCACCACCCACAACAAGGAGGATCGATGCCATTAAATATTGCAGCGAAGACACTGTTCCGTCATGGCTTTGGAGAGGTCATAGGGCGACCGCAAGGACGTCAAGGGCGGACTTGCTGCCGGGTCCGATTCTGCCTGACCACAGCCTATGCCTAGGACACATCTGCAAACACCCGCAGATTCTGGAGATTCACGATGAAGCCGAGGCACGACATTGTGATGAGGTACCCAGTGGTTGCAGGCTGCGAAAGAGGAAACCTGCTGTGACAAGCTTTGAGGGCTTTTGATATCTACATCTGACCGCACCAACAGGCTTTGTTCACGCTAACGTCATCTAAAGTGCTTAAACGGTGACTCTCCACGTGAAGGGGCAGCGAGAGCCGTGGTACAAACCAGCCCGCATTCGGTTCCAATCAACTTGCGGCCGAGAGGCGTAAACCAGGCTTTCGACCTTGTGCCGCTCGGCCATGTTTACCAGATCCGATAGGCCCGCGAGGTTGATCTGCGAGGGCGTGGACGCTTGGACAAGTGGAACTACGAGTGGCATTTTTAAGGGTGGTCGGAGCCTCGAGTTGAAACGTTGCGATGACAGATTGCGATTCTACAGGCAACTTGGTGACAGTCTGCGCTTTTGGAAGGTTACAATCTACCAGCCCGAACTCTTAGCCTCTGAACTGTCACACCAGAAAGCCAAAAATCCTGACCAAAGAACTCTGACACAAGGTTTGAAAGGTCTCATCTGCTCAACACCGGACTTCTGCCGACAGGGCGCTTCCATGAAGGTCTGGTAGGAAGGTCCCAGCAGCGGTGGCTTGATGGCAATCACCATCTGATGCACCACATACCTCGCTAAACGCGAGAAAAGGCTGAAAAGCCGAGGCGCACCCTCTTCAATTCTCTCTCATACAGCTTCTCAGTCCAAGCCAGGCGGCTTATCGAAAAGTACCTTCTGGATGGTAGCAGGATCACGGAGGTCAGCCTTGGATTTTGTGTAGCCACACGGTCACACGTGGCTCTATTACCCCTACCATCACACTCGTGTCACCTACACATGACTCAGTCCTAATGCGCCACCCAACTTGGATTGGTGCAGCTACTTGTATCTACCGCCGGTATTTCTTGGAGAGTGGAATGCTTAACGCCAACTGTCTTGACCCCTGCTTTTGTGCCAGGAGATTGGTGCGGGAAACCTTATAACTATGGGTCACATTCAGCATTAAGCTCCACAGATTTTGCTGCAGCTTGCTGGTTGACTGATCAATGCAGTGGAAAAGCCTTGGTCCCGACCCCAACACGTGGCGAATTGCGAGCTGCATGCGATATCCAAACAACCCAGGTGCAAACAGCCCATTCCAATCACGCGAGCATGGTGCATGGTGCGTGGGAAGCAATTTTTGAACCAAGGAGTTAGCACACTCAACGCTAGTCAAGTCGAGGCAAATCGCAAAATGGCATGGCCGCTACAAAACGATCTGTCCTGTGCCTTATGCTGCACACATGAGTCAAACGATAATGACAGGGCTATACTGACGGCCCTGGCTTGCTTCACGGCACATCCGAGACTGCCCTCGAAGGTCGAGTAGCTCTCCCTCTGACCGAAGATAGACACCCACGCGCGCGCAGACAGGCGCAGATAGGAGAAAACACCAACCAAGAGCAGCTAGCGCTGCAGCACAAAGACTTGACACATTCAGCTACTGTAATGCTTGAGCATCACACCTCCGGTAGGTGTATTTCGAGAGAAGGTATTTTTGCAGCGTCGAAAAGAAGCGCGGTGCTCTCCACAAAAAATTGGGGCATCGGTGACAACATCGCGCGCTTTCAGGCCGGATGGCTAGGAGGTTGATGTCCGCTGCGTCGCTGGGTCGAAGGTCCAGGGAGAGTACTTGAAGCGGCCTCGCCACAGCCTCCGCTCTGAGCAACCCTCCACTTGCAATTGGCCATGCAGAGGTTTTTGGAAACCACGATTTGCCACATGTGTATTGCTGCTAGACCCAAGCCAAGACATCAAACCGTCCACGCTACCTTCACATCACCTATGGACAGCAGGTGATGTCTGGAACTAGCGCCATGTCGCACGGATCTCCCGACTCGCTCCCTGACAGCGACAGTTTTTGCAACGGTCTTAATTTGTTGACGCGGGCACGGGCACATCAGGTTTGATGTCCCGCTTTCGACATTACAGAGACCACGAAGGTCAGCATGCACGAATTTTCTACAGTCTGAATTTCTGCACAGATCATGATTGCAACCGCTTAGTGTTGGTTTGAACTTATGCCATATGCAGTATCTCTCATGGCAGGGCATGCATCGAAGTGGAAGTTTCAAACCCAACACTAAGCTCAAGAATCTGGGCTTCGGGCAGGGGGCATGAGGCAACTGGGCGGCAGCCACACCAAATTATTGGGAGTTCGCAGTCTAAGTACAACTTCACCAAGACCCCTCGCCGTGGTCACCCAACGTTGAAAAAACAACGACTTTCTTCTGATTAGGCCTGATTAGGCCGTCCTTTATGCAAGAGAGCATGTATATGCTTCAGAAATCTGGGCAGGGTTGCGCTCATCCACCACCATCAGGCACTGAGATCCTTCGTCTGCCTGACAGCGAGCAGGCAAGCCAAAAAAGAAACGATCTGCTTGTTAAACCTACTCCTTCCACTTTCACTTCCCCTCAAGGTGCCCGAGACAAGCAAGAAAAGAAGGTGGATCCCAAGGGTGCTTTCAGATGGTGAACTCATAACACAAGCCAAGGCATGAAAACCTCAAGCCGAAGAACCCAAAGAAAGCGAAGCTGTGAAGCTCAACCACGGAGCCCTTACGGGAAAGCTTCGGAGCACATCCGCGTCACATCAGAGAGTCGCAAACTTTCTTTAAGCCCGGGGGCCAGGAGCAACAGCGATGGCAACAAAGCCGAAGAGGCGATCGCGAAGCTCTTGCCAGGGAGGGGCAGCGCCCACCTTAAGAGTGCTTCTGGTCATTATGCATGTATTTACGTGTTGTTCGTCAGGCCGCGTATTCGATGTTGGTGTTTGCCAAGACTTTAATCGATCATGAGCCACATCTAAAATCATCAACATGCAAAGATTGTTAGTTGCCTTGCAATTGGGCCGTCGCCAGTCAAGATGGCGAAGGAATCATTTCTTCGGCTGCGGCTGCCACCCTAACCCCAACTACATCTCAACCCCTGAGGCCTACATTTTGCGCACGGCCACTCGCCCGAAGGGACCCACTGGTGTGTCTGTGCACAGCGCTCCGTCCGCAGGAGCTTTCCATCCTTGGCTGCTTTGCCAGATTGAGCCCCCGTCTAGCATTGATGTCACCTGAACTCCGAGCCATCGTGGCGAGGAGGAAGTGTGGCGAACTTGGGGTTATTGGCCGTGTGGGTCACTCAGCTGTCGCGAAACAGAATCAGAGAATGAGATTCAAACTGCACTTCCGACGGCGCAAACCTGTCGTTGCACAAGACTAGCACAAGACTAACCAAAACTGGGGTAACATCCCTGCAAAGCTGGCAGTTGACTGTGGCTTGTAAGGCTTCAGGGGAGCAGTCGACGGGCGCCGGTGTTTACAGGCGTTCTGGACCCCCCAAAACCTGACCGCTATAGAGGGGCATCAACCCTGAACACTGAACCCAAAGCCCTCACACCTAGACCCACCATGAACCATGTGGGGCAGAGTGACAACCCAAACCCCTTCAGCCGAACCCTATAAACCTCAAGTCCTGAGGGGGGTCCGTGAATTCTACCGTTCGAAAGCCTCATCCTAGATCACTGGATCAGATCAATTTCCTTCATGAGTTGCCTTAGACATCCCTAGACACCATGCAGAAACCACAAACCCTGAACCGAACATTTCCATTCAAACCGGTGAGCCCTGAAGCCAACCGCCAAACCCCAGACCCAGCTTCTGCGCCCATGGAGAGGACGACGTTGGGGCAAACGTCCCGTCGCCGCATGGTGAGGCTGTAGTAGACGTTGTGGGCCTTATGTGGCCGCTAGCCTTCTCGAATCCTGTTGATTAAGATCCTATCATGTTGCTTATTTCGGTTTGCGCAGCAGATCCAGGCAGGGGGAATCCTCAAACACCTTGACGGCGGGAAGCCACTCCTGGGTTGGGGGTTTTAACTTTCCGCCCACCCGAACAATTCATGCCGGGAAGTGTTGGAAAGCGATTGTAACGCGACAGCCCCAAGCTTGCAAGGTCCTAACCCAGAACCCGCACAGACAGGCGATCAAGCATGACAAATGCGTAGAGAAAGCAGCCGTTGGTTGACTCACCGCGACGATGGTGTGGATGGGCACCCCCTGTGGCTTTGAAAAGGTTGCAAGAGCGCACTGCAGCCTCTGTTGACAAAAACCCGGCTCGGAGGTACAGCTGGTGACCCCCGGTGCTTGCACAGTGACAGGTACTTTGTCCTGATAGCTATAAGTAACCGGCATGGATCTACAGCGGCTCTAGAAGCATCACCGACTTATACTTAGCTACACACATGAGGGAGCCCTCTTTTTCGGGCAATATGTTAACTTTAGCCTCATCCTTCATCCCCCAGCCCCCGCTTCGCCTGGCCGTGTGTGTTGCGCTTGAAGCGCCCCGAAGAGCTGTGTACGGAGAACTGCCCCCGTGAGTTCTCCTGCTGGGGCTCGTGCCGTGAAATTACCACAAGTACCACGCCCTGAAAGGTGCATGCCTCAACGATGTAAAGTCATCTGCTGCGGTGCACGCACTGGCTTTGCTCCGCGCCCCTTCTCCACAAGAATGCTGTCAAGCTAAGCATGCCCAAACTAAGCCCGCCTGGAGTATTGCCTTCATACACTCAGGGGGGTAGCAACCCGTGGGTTGCTCTCGGCTCAACCCCTCCCAGGACTCCTCGACCAGAATGCCGAACATCTCCCCATTGCCTGACTCCGGAATTCTGTGGCAGTGTGGCGAGATGCTTCGAAAAAGGGCAGTGCGTGGTTGCAACATGCAGCAGCACTTCTGCTTGTTTACTGCAGGTGACACGCTGTGAAGGCACAGCGAGCACACTGCAAGGAGGCGCGTCACACACGCGTGCATTGGATTGAAATTCAGAGCACGACGACTGCGGTTGGTCTCCACCGAGTGGCTCAAGCCCAGCCAGATCCAGTCCAGGAATCCACCGTGGGATCCAGGCTCCATGGGCAGTGGGCACCTGCGTTCGGCTTTTTTGTTGCTCCTCTCTTTACCCCAAGAAGACGTGGATTCCTGGAACATCGTGCGTGCCTTCGATTGCCTACTGCAGAAATTTACAGCGGTCTTGGATGGCTACACTCCCAGGAAGATCCGTCTCCATACCCCCTGAAGTGCGAGGACCTCTAAGGTTCATCTAAGGTTCAAGGTGGTAGGTCGGAAGAAGGCGCATTTTCTGGCGCATATGCAAAACTAAAGCGTGCTTGCTTGCACAGCTGCATAACGTGCAGCCCAAGGACACAGTCGTAACTGTGGTGGCATCAGGAGCTGCGGAATCTCGGCTCCTTGACAAGTGCAGACATACTTTGCGAATCTGCCGTGTGGTCCGATGCAAAATCACAGGCAACCAAATGCGGAAATCGACCCGAAGCCAAGGTATCTGGACAAGATGAGTTTCAGGATGTGCGACTCACAATCTGCACCCCCTTCCAGCTCGCGAAGCTCGATGTTCTTGCTGCCTGCCTCAGCTGTCCGGGCTCTTCAGAAAACATGCATAAGCATAGTCCAGATGACATTGGTATACTGCTGTCCATCTACTTCACTGATTCACAGCTGAACAGTATAAGGTGAGCTGCGGTGATAGAGTAGAGCTTCAAAAGCCGATTGCCAGCCAGGATCAGGGTTCGACCAGAATGTGCGACACCAAAGTGCCATATGCACGCACCTTCCTTTCTGAGGGTGTTGTCCTGAGCATCTTCTGGCGCTTCTCATTCTGATCTCGACCGCTTGTAATTTGAAACTTCAAGCAGGCCCTCGGCTAGGAGCAGTCAAGGCTCAAGGAGATTGATGAGGACCTTCTTGATGCTATGCAGGCGCATCCTGCCATCCCGGGACACGGAATAGATGCTGATGGCCAGCCAGTGGCAGTCCCGCATCCTGCCCAGCCTCAACAGTCATCTAAAGTTTGCATGTGGGACACAGTCTAGGCAAATGCCTGAGCATCACCTTGGCCACCGACCGGGCGGGTCTGCTGCCTACTTATTTGCAGTTCTTTCATCGGCTAGGCAAGCAACACTGCCAGGACGTGCTCGCCCGGCTGGCCCACATTTGGCAGGAAACAGAGCTGGTAGATCTGCCACTTGTGAGGTGGACTGAAGCAGACCTGACAGGACGGCAGCGGACTTAACATGTGGGCAAAGCTTGACGCTGGCCAGCAAGGCTTGTGTGTCAAGCACGAGCCCGACACCCGCTCGTTCTATTCATATTCGCATCTTGGGTGGAAGGGCACTTCTCTTTGAATATTTTGTATGGAGTGGGCGAGACCTGTCGGTCCAGACTGCAAACTGACTGTCAAGAGATGAGCGTGCACGATACACAAACAAGCACGCCAGGCATGCTGCGTTTTATAGATAAACATCTATTCCTGGATGCACTTATACCTGTTATAACATGTAGTACGCTTCAACCCCCCTCCTCGGCACACACTGCGGGTCGTCGCAGGTCAGAACTTGTTCCAGCCCATTTCCTTGTCTGCCAAGACTCTGTAGCTTAGGAAACCTGCTGTACCCGAGAATGCAGCCATCTGGTGCAGAAGCCTGGTTTACACAAGTGCGCAGCTGTGACGTCGCATGTGCTTTTCGGACCTGTAATCCATTGCATCTGCGTGTCCAGATGATGATGGTGTGCTCATTGCCCGTGAGCTCGCAGTGTGCAAACACGCGGCTGTTCTCCGGATGCTGGCACATGCAGATGATTCCTGAAGCGTGGTCAAGGAGCTCTTCACGTTGCGACTTTAGGCAAATTGACGCTACAACACATCTTCTAAGGTTGATACGCCCCCCCCCCCCCCCCCCCCCCCCCCCCCGTCGGTACATCACGACAAAACATAACATACAAGTCCTCAAGGTTCAGAGAAGTACAGTTTTGGTTAGTGTACTATTCGCCAAATGAAGAAGGAGTCCCTGGACAGACTCCGAGCTACCGACGCAGGAGCCTGTTTAGGGAAGTTTCCTGAGAAGTTTCCGCTACAGCAGTACATAACACGCCAAAGCTACAAGCTCCAGTATCCATGAAAGCCATGATGCCCTGTGCACCCATCATGGTCCAGGCAAAATGCCTCCACAGTTCACTAGACTAATTAGGCGGCACCTAAGGAATACTGGCATATATGGTTGCGCGCTGTGCGTTCTCGGTCCCCCCGGTCTACGGGCTCCCCGAAACCAACCGTAAACCCAAAACCCTAAAGCCCTAAACTTTTAAGTTTTAACCCCACCTCACACGCCTTGGCCGCTTTTGTTGCTTTCCCAGCCAAGCGACGCTTGAACTCGGGGCTCCGTGCGACTGGAACTGCTGCACCGCTGTCGCAACCTTGGGGAGGGGACAAAAATCACCTGCTGTCTGGGAGACCAAGCGCAAGCGACTAGGAGGCTTGTTGCTGGCAACAGTAACAGCTGTCACACAGCTGCCTAGGTACTTGCATCGGGCTAGTGGACAGAAGCAGGCACCTCTCAACTCTCCCTTTTCCTTCACTAATCATATCCAATCATGTACCAGGTCCTTGCAGCTGAGATGCAGTCGACCCGCCGCACGTCGCAGAGCGCACGCTCTGCCGAGTTGCCCAGGAAGGCCCCGCCACAAAGCTTGGCTGACTTCCTTGCAAGTCACCAGCAGCTGCAGTCAAATAGAGTTATTCTAACTATATAATTTATGTAAATTGCAATTAACAGGCGATTACAAAACTAAGACTAGTGGATGAGATGGATCCGGAAATGCTCAAGCCACCGCCTTAGCCTTGGAACATTAGGGCAATAGGGATCATGAGGCTCTGGTTGAGTGATCTGGTTGCGGAGATGTTTGGAGGAGCCCGCAAAGCAAAGACACCCTAACACCAAATTAGGGCTGACTGCCATGTAGGGGCCATCATGAACTTTATGTTTCCTGGGCTGAAGAGGCTGCTCAAACACCTTTCGCATGCAGCTTGGCTTCAGCACTCCATCGTGGAAGTAGAGGACGCTTTCCTGGCGAGCGGGCCACAAGTTGATCGCTGCGCTGCAGGGCCGCTGTGACCGCGGTGGGGCATGAAACACACCGTGCGCATGGCCCGACAGCTTCGCACCTTCGCTTCGGTCTGCCACAGGCGCTCGTAGTCCTGGCATCCAACCACAGCTATAGGCTTTGCCAGGCATGGGCTGACGATCCCTGCAATGGCGAGAACACAGTTCTCGAACCCTGCAACAACCCCTCCACCCCCCAAGAAACCCAGCTGAAACAGTATAGATCACCCACAGTACTTCTGCCCGCGGCACCTCGTTGGAGGGGCCCTGCGCCCCAAGTTTTGGAGCAAGGCCTCGTGGCTCACGTTGAAGGAAGTTTCCTAGTTGAAGGTTACTTTTTCTTCTTCGGGATCTTAGTTCCTTTCGAGCTCTGATCTTCAAGCAGTGACGGATCATAAGACTTCAGTTTTGAATCTGCTCTAAAGGGTGCGGTACAATGTTCGGACATCGTCGGGCGAAGTGCGGATTGGAAACCAAACATCAGAATCCATCGTGGCCAATCGGACGGGGGTATCAGGAAACCAGAGCTGGACGTCAAGGTTCCCTCCATCACACATGTCCCCAAGACAAGAAGTTCGACAACGCCCGACAACTATACACATCCCCAGATACTGAACTCAGCCGCGGCACTTTTGGGCATGTCCAAGCCGGCCATGGTCAGGAAGAGCTGAGGGACACGCCTGCAAGTCGCCAGGTCAGATCTGCAAAGAAAGACAAAGAAAAAACATCTCCAATGCCACATTGACATGGAGCTCGGGGTCTGCATTCAGAGACTTGATTGAGCTGGATGGTGTGGGGATAGCACTGATTCAAGCTGTGGATCACAAGTACTGCGCTGCCCGATGCGAGCTCTTGATGCTCAGCCTGTTGCTGACTTCCAGCGCCATGGTCCTCGGGCCGCCGTGCTGCCCGATATTGCCCGATCGTTCTCTGTACAAGCCAGTGTCTCCTAAGGCCACAAAAAGCACTGTCGTGCTGGCCCAGGCGCTCAAATGGGATGCCCAATGGCCGGCTGAAAAGCGACTCGGTCTCATCGTCCATTGCCTTTGTTTCACATCTTTGTGAACATGACATGTTTGAACGCCGTAAAGAAGGTTTGGAGCTCATTCTGAGTGTTCACGCTTCTAGCACTCTCGGGCGTCGGCTCTGGATGGGATATTGAGGTTGCTCAGCTGAGCTAAGTGCAGACTTCCCACAGGCCTTCAAGTCCCTTTTATGTCCGAAGCTTCAGGAGCCTACCACAGCCTGCAACTGTAAACCGGGCCGCCAGTCGAAGCGCTCGGTTCTTCCACCGGTTAAGCTGAACCATGATACGGATAGCCTCTCACAGGGCTTGGCACAGTGGATGCAGTATTTACATGAACATGTTCTCGGTGAGCTGCCCAAGACTCAGGGGCAATGTCAGGGCACGCAAGCCGCAGCCCAAATATACTCAAATCAGCCGGGACCCTTCTGCAGAATCAGGCACAGCCTTGTACAAGTTTGCCAGGTTCCGCTCCCGCTTGCCGGCCCTCATGACCTTGAGCCGGGTGCAAGAGTCTTCTTGCGAAGTCCTGTAAGTCACCGAACCCTAGCAAAGTTGTTCTTGCACCGTTTTGATAAAAGGATATAAAAGGACTGCTCGGGCAGGGGGGCGGCAGGGGGCGGGCATCTCACTTCCAAGCTGCATATTTCAGGTTGAAGGATCTGTGTTACAAGTCCTTCTCCCAACGCTTCAACCGGCCTTGTGCAGGTAGGTGCAGAACTCCACCGCGTGTGCGTAGGCTCGAGCCTTCTTCAGCGAGAATTGCCTCTGCTCAAAGTCATGCCAAGCCGGACCGAATGACGTCAACCCACCCCTTCTGTCAGCCTGTGAGCCGTCCCAAAGCCCATAACACAACATACTGCACAGATCTGCACAGTTTCCCATGCACTCTTCAACTGACCTACGTGTGCCGCTCTGGTGCTTGCGGATGCGGCGAATGACCGCCTGAGAGGCTTGACCTGAGGGCACGGGCAAGGCGGCTGTTGCTCCGGGTGCTTTCAGGGAAACGACACAGGGAACCGAAGAAGGGGTGGGTGGGGCGAAGTCCTAAGGTTTCAGGGTCATCAATGCATCGGCATCGACCGTCAACTGAAGTGCACACACACACAGTCGCCAAAAAGTGCCCTGAAGAGGGCACTGCTCACACCTGAAAAGCATTCCCAGCGGCCACCCGTGTCACGCAGGTCCTCCAGTGCCCGCAGCTGCCCGGCCTGCGGAACAAAGGAGGCGTTTCAGGGTCCGGCAGGCAAGAATGAGGTCACACTTGGCATATGTATCTACTATACACCTTGCCGTCTAGCTAAGGCCAGTAGGCATGTGGCGTCATCTCGCATTGCGGGAATGGAAGCAGTGCATGGTCCATAGGGCAGCATGATGCGAGGAGCAACTGCAACGTCTTCGGTCTATCTGGGCACCCTCAAATCAAATACATCTGGACGTTGAGAGGGAGCTTGACCGTAAGTGCAAAAAGCTTGCCTTGAGGAAGAGCCGCGTGGTTCCCAGGGTCCACCTTACTCTCAATCAAGCAGAGGAGTTTGCTCAAATTCTGGGGGCCACAGCGGCACTGACATGCCCTGACGCTTATCAGTTTTGCATAGGCGAGCCACTGGCTTTCATCGATGTCCCAGGCAAGCATCACTGCATGCATGAAGTTGCGGTCCTGATCTGATTCTTTGAGTTGCAAGTGTCCATGTCGAACTCGGCAGCTTCCGGACAAATGCTACAAGAAGCATCGGCTAGCGGCTAGCAAGCCAGGTAACCAACTAATTCATCTGCAGTTCTCGCCCCTGAAATCCATTACAAGCGGGTGGTTCCGACATTCACATTGGTAAATGCAAGGTGCTCTCCATGCAAAGGGCCGGCGAAATTGACAGAATAGTTAAGCTGCAGAAGAAAACCATCGTGTCAAAATGTCGCAGTGCTGCTCACACGAAACCCAAGCAGTCCGAGTAGTGCGCGAACTCTGGGGGCAAGAGCTGCTGGAAGCGCGCCCGGAGGTCCTTGACTGAGCGACCCATTTCCGAAGCAATGGCTGCACCGTTTTGCCTCAACACACCAACGACACCCGCACTCTTTGGACTTGAACCCCTTCTCTTGTCCGACTTCAAACCTCCGAAAGCTATCGACTCCACATGCGAAGCCGCACAAGTTGCGCTCAAAGGGTCTCGAAGGATGCAGCGGTGGGGGTATCCATAGTGCATGATCCGCACAAGCTCCACGGTCCCGCACTGGATGACCTTCTAGAGGTATGCAGGCAGTAATTACGTATTTCCCGAACACGCGCACGACGTCGATGAGCGGGCTGTGCTTGGACTTTCTGTACAACTTGGCAATATCGGGTTCACGGTCCCCGCAAGGTGCGCCTGCTCCAGGACGTACTTTCGATTGAAGAGCCCTGGCTTCCTCTCCTGCAAACGGTGTGATTTATGACATCTATGCCTCTGGCCAGCACTCGCAGGCGGATGGCCAAGGTCGACGCTGGCCATGTCACGAACATTGCTGATTTGTTTGTTTGGCTTGGCTCAAGATTCAAGATTCAAGTTTCGAGAAGGATCGGCTCCAACATCCTTGCCTGATTCGGGTTGAAGCAGCGGACGTAGTGCACGGAGCACCGCTTCAGCGTGGAAAGCAAATCCTCAACTCAACATTGGCCCCTGTGCGTCAAAGTACCCTCTTACTCTGTGTTTCTCTATGATTCTGCACTGTTTTCTCTTGCCGTGGCGGCGGCTGCTTCTATCGATTCTTGTCGCGCTGCTCGGACCCCATCTGCAGCCCAGCTTCGTTGAGGTTGTTCAAGTAGGTGCTGCTCACAGAGCACAAGCGCTCTCCGGTAAAGGCCGACATGCGGCTGGTGTCTGCCATGCTTGTGACGAGATCCTTGCTGCCATCTGCCAGAAGGGACTCGATCTCAGGAACCAGGGAGTCGTTGTTCTTGTCGATCCATCCCCTGGTGGAATAGGACACCTTGGCCACGCAAAGCAGCTCAAACCTGTCGTGCAGAGTCTGCGGTAACCACTCCACCTGGATTACAGAGTGTACTGCAGCGATGTGTGGTAATTAGAGGAAATGGGCCAGATTGGACATCGGAAGGCTGCTGTATGCCACCCGAAGCCCATTTTAGACCCGATCTCCCGCTAAGCCGGGGCGCACCACCACCTAAACCATAGCAAGTCCGAACATGCCTGCCCCGTCCCACGCAGCCGCCCTTGGCCGAGGCGCAGGACCGGCGTAGTGGCAGATCTGAAAGCCTTGGATGCCCACGGGAATACACTTGAATACACTTGAACCTCCCGCAATTTTAACACCCACATGGTAAGCCCCGAAGAAGCTGGCAATTGAACTGTATGTGTATATATATATACATATACATATCTATTTATTTGTATAATTTATGTATGTGTACATAGATCTTTTGTTTGCTCACATACTGCTTTTATGCACAGGCAGGGCTCCGTCATGCAGCCCGGGCCCGGCGCCAGAACGGCTGGCCTCGCTCAATATCCCAAAAGGCAGCTCCAAGACCAACCAGGGCATTCGCTTTCAGAGTGTTTTTTACGGGGTGTCTCAACGGGGAGGGTATGAGGGTGGAGAGGTTCAAAGACATGCAAACTTCGAGTGCACGCCCAAGCAAATTACTTCAATTTGGAATAGGAGGCAGGGAGAACGAAGCCACAAAACACTGAACACAAAATCATGTGTCGGGCCTTCAGCTTTAGGGGCAGTACTGGCCCACCCTGGCGATCGCGAATGAGCTCTCGATGCACCTGAGCCATGCATTTCGTTTGACTTGATGATGGCTTACTGAACTTGGTCCTAATCCAGCCCGTTCTGCAAGCACGATCCTAAAGCGCAAGCCCGTCCCGAAGTTCAGGGAACCGCATCTGCGAAAAAACTGCGTTAAAACTCCAACAGCCAGGGCGACCTGCTCGCAGTACTTGGCATCCTTGTCGTCCTTTGGACCCGTGCGCACCAAGTTCTTGATGGCCCGCAGGCTGTGCTCATCCAACAGCTTCATGACGTTCCTTTCTGCTGGCACAACAGCACACAATCACAGTGATGTCGCGTGATGTCGCGGTCACTAGGACGCCCTTCTCTTTCTTATCTGGCAGAAGTCGACTGAAGAATTCTGGCACTGAAGGCATGCTGTGTGTGACTTCAAACTTGCCTGAACATGCCACTGTTCCTGTGGCTTGTGCTGACCATTGCCCACTGCTGCCCAGAATAAAGGCAGGCTTCTGCACGCCCAGAACAACCGGGGTGGAGTCTGGGAGGTCCATCTCCAGCACGGTAAGCCGCTCCTCCTCATACATGCGCTGTTCCGCCTGCAGGACCTGTGCGGCAGCGCTGCTCCTTGTCTTACACTTCAATTCGAATGTCAAAAGACTTGCCCGAGCACATTATCCAAGAGCAAAGCCGCCTCTTCTACGAAGAACTGTTGGAGGCGCTCGTTCGCCAGGTTGATGCAGAGTTGCTCGAAGCTGTTGTGCTCCAGGCGCTCGAAGCCGTAGATGTCCAAGGTTCCAATGCCTCTCGCTTCACACTCTGAGGCTTCTCAGCTGCGGTGGGGTCTCTCTAGGAGCTGGACGAGGTGTTGGGGAGGAGTTTTTGGAAAAGGCCTCATGTAGAGCCTGTGCTGCAATGGTTGCGACTAGGGCGCTGGTGTAGTTGGCATCTGGATGGACCCTCGCGTTGGAGACTTCGTTGATCTTGGCCACGATCTTGTCAAACATGCGCTTGTATAGCACCTTTTGAGAGCAAGGTCCTTTTTGTCAGCCCCTTGTAAGCCCCTGAAGGACGGGGGGGCCTCATAGCAGACATAATGTTCGCCTCTGATTTGACACTCTAAACCTACGGACCTACGGACCGAACTACGTTGCGCACTGGACTTGTGGAGCGAGCACCTTGATGATGCACTGGAGCGTCTGCTTTGCTTGCGCGAGGCTTCGCGGGCACTTGATGTGCGACGTGCGCCCTGCAAGGCTCAAGAGCTCTCTCGCAAGCATGCCGACTTCTTGCTGCCAAACTTAATGCCTGCAATGGCAAGCCTGGACTGCAAGGTTGAGATGCTCGAGAGCATCAACTGAAACTCGCTCAGAGCTTCTCTGAACTGGTAATCGTACAGTACAACCGGCCTGCAGCCCACAAAGCCTGTAATATTGAACGTTGATTAGTGTGGTTGGGCAGGGGGGTGGTCACTTCGGGCCTCAGGCTTCTTCAGAGTTTCAGTTTATGGAAGGCAGGTTAGCATTGCTCAAACTCAGGTCCGGCATCAGGAGGGATGAAGCTTTGTGATGTTTTGTGCAGGCACAACTCAGAAGATCTCAGAAGCTAAGTTTAAAGAACTGATGCGAACAAAATCAGATGACCTGAAAACCTTAACACAATTCCGGGAATGTGAGCCCGATCTTCGGAAGAAACACCACAATTCCAAGGGATCAGACTCATCAACATCCAGCATTACCTCGCATACCTCGTCCTCTCCCGGCCAAGTCAGCCTTACAATGCCACACGCTTTTTGCAATAGCTCCCGTCCTTGTCGGTTGACACGCATCTCACGAAACCTGGCAGTCCAGGTGAACCAGTATGAACGAGAAAGCTGCGCTTCTGAACCGAGGGCCCAAACTTCCTACTTGCTCTGAAGAGGGAATAAGGGAACTAGGCACCTGAGACCCCCTCTTTTTAAATAAACCGGTGTATGTATATATATATATATATATATACACATACCCTTTAAGGAATTCTGCAGGGTACCTCATTCCCTCATTCTCTACGAAGAACCAATCAAAATTCTTAGGCCAGGCAGCTTCAGGATGCGAGAGATGCCCAGCCCAGTGAGGCCCAATAGATCTGCAGCCGTCTCTAAGGCCTCGGGGGGCTGACCATCGCGCCTTACTAAAGTATATGCACAATCAATATATATATATATGTGTGTGTGTGTGTATTTCATACTAATAAGAACAAGAATATACAATCAACATATCTATACATATATATATATATATGCTACCCCCCCCCCCCATGCGCCCACGCTTCAGCATGGTTTCCAGATAAAAATACTAGGTTCCGCCCTGCGCGGTGGTTTTTAAAGGGGGAGGGACTCCCATAGAAACTCCAGCAGAAGTGACCTGAACAATTTGCTCGAAATTGTGGATTGCATGCCATGAATTTAATACAAATCCTATGCATGTGAATAGCGTTCCTATCAAATTTAATGGGGTTCATAGGATTCTTTAAATCTTATTAAAATGAAAAGGAAACCCGTTAACATGAATGAGAACCCTTAATTCGATTAAATTCTATGGGAACCCTATTCAAATGACAGAATCCTACTTAAAATTGATAGGAATCATATTACATTTGTAGGAGCCTTATTAAAATAATTTGGCAAACTTTTAAACAGAAAAATAGGAACCCTCTATTGAAATCCATAGGAACCCTATTAAAATTGATCGGACTGTATATAAAGTGAATAGGAAGCATATTAACATGAATAGGAACCCGAGTGGAGTTAATGAGAACCCAATTATACTTGATAGGATCCTAATAAACTGAAGAGGGCCCCTACTAAAATTTATAGGAACCAATGGGACTCTTATAAAAAAAGGTGTGAACCCTTAAAGAATGGGAGTCCTACTAGAATTAATAAAAGCCTAAACCAAAAGGAATCCCTTTCAAACGAATGAGATCCCTATTAAACATTGATAGGAATCCCATTAACATGAGTAAGAGCCCTGAAACTGATAGGAATCTTAGTGCATTAGTGGGAGCCTTGTTGAGATAATTAGGAACCCTATGAAACTTTATTGGCATCCTATGAAAATGTGTAGGAATCTTTCATTGAAGTCATAGGAATCAAAGTCTCATGGGGTTTTTAATTATTCTCCTTCTAATGTAATAAGATTCCTATCCATTTTCGGGTTCTTATTCATGTTAATGGGATTCGTATTAATGTTAATAGGGATCTCATTCGTTGGAAAGGGATTCCTATTGGTTTAGGCTCATATTCATTTAGTAGGATTCCTATTCATTCTTGTTAAAGGAATCTTATTTTTTCATAGGAGTCCTATTAGTTCAAACTAATCTTAGTAAGAATCCTTCTCATTTTAGTATGATTCCTATGAATCACCACCGCGTTCTTTTTGATTTGTTAAGGTTCATTCTAATAGGCTTCCTCTTGGCTTTTATCCGAAACCAATTTGATAGATTGGAATCCTATAATTGAATTCATAGGAATCCTGCCAATATTTTTCGGAACCGATACAAGTTAATAGGAAGTGTGCACATGATGCTTGTCGTAGCATCAGGCATGCCGTGAAACATTAGAGTTTAGTTGCGAAAACGCTGCACTGTCCCAAAAAAAAAAGCTTTTCAGCCAAAAAGTGCAAAAATGCTGTGCTGTCCCAAAAAAACCAATCTTTTTAAGGCAAAACGTGCAAAAATGCTGTACTGTCCCAAAAAACCAAAAAAACCAAAGTTTGGAGACCTTGGGCTCCTCCAGGGCCTGGGGGTCTCCAAACTTTGGTTTTTTTGGTTTTTTTGGGACAGTACAGCATTTTTGCAGTTTTTGGCCTAAAAGCATTGGTTTTTTTGGGACAGTACAGCGTTTTTGCAGTCCCAGGCCTCGAAAGTGCTGTACTGTCCCAAAAAAACCAATCTTCTTAAGGCAAAAACTGCAAAAATGCTGTACTGTCCCAAAAAAACCAAAAAAACCAAAGTTTGGAGACCTTGGGCTCCTCCAGGGCCTGGAGGTCTCCAAACTTTGGTTTTTTTGGTTTTTTTGGGACAGTACAGCATTTTTGCAGTTTTTGGCCTAAAAACATTGGTTTTTTTGGGACAGTACAGCGTTTTTGCAGTTTTTGGCCTAAAAACATTAGTTTTTTTTGGGACAGTACAGCGTTTTTGCAGTCCCAGGCCTCGAAAGTGCTGTACTGTCCCAAAAAAACCAATCTTTTTAAGGCAAAAAGTGCAAAAATGCTGTACTGTCCCAAAAAAACCAAAAAACCCAAAGTTTGGAGACCTTGGGCTCCTCCAGGGCCTGGAGGTCTCCAAACTTTGGTTTTTTTGGTTTTTTTGGGACAGTACAGCATTTTTGCAGTTTTTGGCCTAAAAACATTGGTTTTTTTGGGACAGTACAGCGTTTTCGCAGTCCCAGGCCTCGAAAGTGCTGTACTGTCCCAAAAAAAACAATCTTTTTAAGGCAAAAAGTGCAAAAATGCTGTACTGTCCCCAAAAAACCAAAAAAACCAAAGTTTGGAGACCTTGGGCTCCTCCAGGGCCTGGAGGTCTCCAAACTTTGGCTTTTTTGGTTTTTTTTGGACAGTACAGCATTTTTGCAGTTGTTGGCCTAAAAACATTGGTTTTTTTGGGACAGTACAGCGTTTTTGCAGTCCCAGGCCTCGAAAGTGCTGTACTCTCCAAACTTTGTTTTTTTTATTTTTTTGGGACAGCACAGCATTTTTGCTTGTTCTGGCTTAAAAAGATTGTTTTTTTGGGACAGTACAGCGTTTTTGCACTTTTGGGCCTAAAACATTGGTACAGTAGAGCGCTTTCGTGCTCGCTGGCCTAGGAGGCTTCGAAATCCTAAGCCTCTAAACCCTACCATGGCACCTGAGAGGAAAAAGTGTGGGCATATGGGGGGGGGGTACCATATATATATATGCATATATATATATGTATGTATATATTGTCCGTACATATATGTATTCATGTATATATTCATTTCTTGTTTATACACAAATACAGAAATAAATACATACATGAACAAATACATAGAGGATGGATGAGGGTGGCTCAGGGTGCGAGTGCAAAGGCTGGTTTCGGTCCGATTGGCTTTGGCTAATCTTCAGAGCAACAAGCCGGGATATGTGGAGGTTTCAGTAGTGCTCACTGGACTCTACCTGCGCTCGTATGGCATCTGGCGAGGAATTGTGCGTACTGGTACCAGGCTAGTAGAGGCGCAAAATGGGGCGAGCTTTAGAAAGACGTGTTGAGCCCGTCTACCATCCTTTTGCAAAGATGCGGGGGCTCCCGGAGGACGTGGCGTATATATATATATATATATCTGCATATCTATCTAGATATATATATATATATACATATATACTTGTAGGTAGTATGTCATGAGAGTGCTCGGGCCATCTCGGGCCTCTTCGGTCTCCTGCGTAACAGCCACTCTTGCCGTCTGGCTGCCTGGCAGATTGACAGCGCACGAGGTCAGCTCGGCATGTGACGTTCGGACATGCAGATTGTCAGGTGTGTTTCACGTTACCTAACGAGCCCTCAACCTCAAATCTGGAGACTGTGTACCCCATCATACATGCACGCAGCAATATGCAGCATCTTCAGCAAGGCAGAACGAGCATATTTCTGCCAGTCCAAGTGGCTGTCTGGGACTGGGACAGGCTGTTCCGACATGGCAGCGGAGGCTGCGTGGGAGCCTTCCAGCAATGGAGCTTGAGCTCTTAAGCCGAAGTTCCAGCATGCTATCTATTTCTACCTTTATGCACGGTTAAAAATTTTGCTTGTCGAAGCTCTACCTTCGAGGTTTCAACTTCCAAGGTTAGCAAGAATTTACCTGCAGGACTCGTTGTCCACCGTCGCACACAGTCCAAGACTTAAATCCTACAACGTTCTACGAGACTCTTCGTCGTGCCCAGGTGCTCGGCGACAAGCACGGTGACGAATCGGGTGCTGAGCAGTCCTTTGCTTTTTAGCCCTGAACCCAGGCAAGCAGTCCAAGCATGGTCTTGTGACTTCGAATATTTCAGCTTTACGCATTCAACGATACACAGATGCAATCGGGGAGTTCCCTCCCTCAACTGCGCCCAGGGGCATCTTCAGATGGTGCCACCGTCTCCTCGAACTCCACCTCTCCCAAGTGGATAAGCGCACCGAGGATGTCCCACATGTGGTCCTTCGATAATTCTGCTCAGAGGTGAGTTAGTTCTTGCTGTTTAGAGCTGAGGAAGTAGCTGAGACACGGCCCATGTTTGTCCAATGGTCCTGCTCCTCTTCGCCCACAAACAGGGACAGTGCATGCTTCAGCTCTTCGAACTGCTTTGCAAGCCGCTGTGACTCAGGTGAACCTTCTTGCAGAGGCGGGGTTCCACTGGAGTGCAGCAGCTTGTAGTTCTCCTCTCGGTCAAGGGAAAGGTTATCCAAGTGGTCGTCGTCCATGCCAGCCAAGAGCTCATAGAAGACATGGTAGTTCTTTTCTCCGTGCTGCTGGACGACAACGCGTGAGCTTTCCAGCAGAAAGGTCTTGATTCCAGCACCCACTAGAGAACCGACTCGGTCAAACATCATTTCATTGTACCTTGGTTGCGTCGGGAGCTGCAGCAACAGCAGTAGCAACAGCCACAGCGCGGACACGCAAACATCTGTGTAAATTGCCAAAGCCACTTTCCGAAGCGGGATGAGTTCATGTTCATCACAGTCGAAGCATTGCCAAAAGATTCCAAGATGGGGTTCGCGCTGATGATTTTATCCTGGATCTTGTTGCCGTGCTCCACATCAGTCCTCTCCGCAGAGCAATTGCCTCTACGTACTCTATAAACAGGTGAGTGCCCTGAACAGCTAACAATGCAGTCTCACTGAGTTTGCCCCATCACTAGTGGTAATTGTGGAAAAAATCAAGTACCCGAAAAAACGGTGGAGGAGTACTTATTCCCAAAATAGGACAGCCGAATAAAAAAGTACTGGCAAGCGGAGCAGGTGGGGCACCAGGGCTCGAGAATGGGGGTTTGCTGTACTACGTCTGCACTCGCAAGGTAACAATGGCTTCACTCACTTGTTAGCCTAATTACAGGGCAAAAGCAGCTTAATCCGAGCACCTGTTTAGATAATACCTCCATATTTAAAGAGTTTTTCGTCGAGAAGCCCGCCGAAAGACTACTTTCCACTACGGGGATTTTCGTATGTATGGGCCAGTACCTCCACATTTAAAGAGTTTTTTCGGGGGGTTCAACAATCTGTCGGCAGGCTGTTTTGTTTTGCTTGCTGAGCTGCGGAGCTACAGCACCCTAGGGATCTGCAGCCTACTGTTTTTACTCGAAATTTAATTACATGGCCATGGTCTCATTTTTGCGGCGCTCTGCCTTTCTTATTGCGGTGGGGGGGGGGGGGGGGGGGGGGCACCAATTAAACAGGTGCTCGGATTACGACGAAAGAGTCTTCGTTGCATGAGCCGTTCAGTGGAAAGTGCAGTCTCCCGCCTTCGGATGTTGTTAGGACACCAGTTGTCAGAACACGGTTCCGCTGATTTGTTGCAGCAAGAGCGCCTACGACAAGGATGTCTCAAGCTACAAGCAGGTGCCGGTAGCTGCAAAGCCATAGACCTTCGATCCACAATCGGCCTGGGCTCTGCCCTTCAGCATACGGGGAGAGGGGCCCAAAGGCCGAGCCCAAAGGCTGAATTCAGCAAGAGCTCGAATAAATCGACCCCGAGAAGCTGTTATGAATTGTTACACTCTTCCTTCCCTGCTGAACTTTGTAGATCTCAACCCTCTCTGGTCTCCTCGACATGGACGTGAGGTAATGCATTGTGATCTTGGCGGTCTCTGTTTTCCCGGCACCGCTTTCCCCACTGATCACCAGAGCCTGCTGGGGAAGGACACTCAGACAGGCATCTACACCCGAAACTTGGCACTGCCCACTGGATTGTTCCAGGACTCAATTCTCTCGCGGTTCACTGTTCTCGGCTCAACTTTTCTGGGTCACCTCCTGTGCGGCTGGCCTGATTCTTGCGATCCCGCTGCATTCGCCGATATGCCACATCAGCGATGGCCTCAAGGGTGCCACGGAACAACAGCAAGACATGGAACTGTCATGACTCAGAGCCTGGCCAAAAAGCTTGTTGAACCCTTGTCGAAGCGATGGTACTGATCGCCACTGCTTGCTCGTCTTTATTGCAGCTGAGCTGCGTATGGGTGCGGGGGCAGGGTGCCTGGATTCTTGCCCCAGTACTTCTCCATCTCCTTTCCACGCTCAAGTAAGCCCTGCGAGTTAGATGATGCTAGATGATGAGTTCTAGAGATTTGCGGTGGCATCTTGTGGTGAAGACAGCTCTCCAACCTGAGACCTCATGCTTGCCCAAGGCATGTCAAGAAGAAGAAGAAGACCTCCAGCAGAACATGCCAGGCGGAAATCCTCGCGGGTGTACAGATGGCGCAGGCTCTTGTATGGGTTGACGGCGAGCAGGACGTTGGCGGTGTAAGTGTAGATCTTGTCCTTGCAGTACCTTTTGCCTCGTCAGGAGGGGTGGCATTCTCAGACTAAGCCAAGACAAAAGCCAACGCAGCATCAACAGTGCAGTGCAGGTACCATAAACACCATGAGGCACAATAGAGCCCCAGCCAGAGGGCTGTGGTTTGGCTACTATTTCCCTGCCGCTCTTTCGTTTCCCTTGGCTCGTCTGGCCCAATCCCAAAAACACCCCAAGGAAACTTGCTCGCTTGAACATCCTTTCAAATGGTTCGAGATAGAAGTCCCTTGCAAAGAAGGCTTAAGCTGGGCTGCTTGGTTCTCTCACCGGGCGTTTTGTCTTCCAAGATCAATCTTCTATAGGCTGTCCAAAGGTGTTCATCAAAGTAATTACACGGCTAAGGCGTGCGCCCGGCTGGTTCTTTCCGTTTCCACGTTCCTGTACGTAGTACAGTCTGCATTCCTCGGGCTTTCGGGAAGGCAGGATGGTTTCTTGCATTCTCTTTCTTGCTCGCCAGATATTTCACTGCACGAATTCCGGGCGCAGGCTCTAAACAAACTCTGCTGTCTAATTGGAAGCGGCATTTGCATGAAGGGCTTGGTCACGTCAGGCGGCGCAAATTGTCCAGGATGTTGGCATCATCCAAATGCACCATCTCTGTATTATCCTGGAAGGTGGTCTCCTGCAGAACATCATGAATTCTGCCGGAGAGGCCCAAGGATGCTACAAGAAACTTGCTGGATTGAGGCTTACACCAAGCGCCGCTTGCCTCTCCCGAATCGTAGAAGGGGCGGACATCACTCTTGCGAACCTGGCTGTGAAATGTTCCTACAAGCTAGCAGCATCAACCAACTCACACAAGAGTCAAAACTGGTGATTTCCGTTCGTTTCTGACAGAAGGAAAAAGAAAAAATCATTCAAATCTGAGATGGCGCCGGGGGGCGGCCTGGGATCCACCTGTTTGGCCATCAGCAGCCACGATGATGGAGTCCTTAAGCAATAACGTGCGTCTGCGTGTGCCTCTGCGTGTGCCTGCGCACCTGTGTGTTGCGTGTGCACGCGTGGTGGGACATACTGTACTTCTTCGGATCAACGCGACGCTCCATGGACACCTCCCTTCATCTCCCTTCCACAAATCAACTTGCTGCGTGCCCAGCATCCCGATTATCATCGACACTCAGAACCCGAGAGCGGCGGTAGCCTGATCGGTGAGTTCTTGCGTGGGAGCGATGGCCATGTCAAATGTGCATAACGTCATCCACAGCTCCCAAATGTGGTGAGAATTATATTCGTCCGGCCAGGGGGCTGGCCCAAGAGCTTTCTCAATCAGCAGAGGTTCCGGGCTCATGTGTCTAAGCTGATCTATATTTGGGGGTCCGGTGAGAATTCTACGTGGGTAACAATTCAAAATTCGGCTGGCCAGGAATCTGCACCCAGGCCCCCAGAACACCACCCCTTTTTACCACCCTCAAACTGCCCGGACACAAAATGGATTACAGTTTAACTTTGTGGAGGGAGAGAGGGGGGGGGGGCGGGTTATCAAAGGCACCCTGACACTATTGTACCTGCCTCTGCTGAAGACGACCTGGCTCTGGGTGCACTGGGTTGGGTTTGGACGTCCGAAGACTCCGTGCTTGCTGCCCAGCTGCCCTCACTGGCATCTTTATGCCACACCCAATCCTTGGGTGTCTCTAGCTTTCAGAGCATCGCGGGGAGGTGGGGGCGCGGGGGGGTTTGAAGTGCGCTGATAGACCAGAAGCGCCAGCAGGGAAGCGATTATGTGGTCGTGCTCTCTCCAATGGGGGCGCCAGGCCAAACGTGAGAGCAGACGGCAGTCATGCTCACAGCTTTACAATTGTAAACTCTGACTCTCGGCCATCCCTGCCTTGCACGCCGAGGAGGCAGCGCAGCATGACAACATGCGTACACGCACACAATACAGCACGCACTGCACGTGTGCGTGAGGCACTACATCAACAGGACCAGTATGGCCCCGCGAACCGTGTCACATGGTTCACCTATTGAACAGGCTTCCCTATAGCTATTGAGAAGAGCGGCATTGATGTCATAATGCCAGGCTAGCGGAGAAAGCGGGCTTCCTGCAGGGCGACAAGAACCATGTTTTTCGCTGCAAGGGCTCTCCAAGTCCTCGATCTGCAGGGGCCAACCCCTCGCCTTAACGTTTTGACAGGTTCTTAAGGTTCTGAGTGTGCTTTCCCGTATCGCAGTGGTGGCACATACTTCTACAGGAACACGGAATCGAGACGACCCGCTCGACTCCTTTATATACTGACATGAGACCTTACAGTATTACCGGGAAACCGGACGGGAGCCAAGCCGGAAATCCAAACCCTGACAGAGACTTGAAGTTTCCAGGTACCCTGATGCAAACAACTGCCGCATTCGTGTCGCTCAGCCCCCTGATTTCCGAGCCCCACCTCCGATGCTCTGTCGACTCTCCATGCTCCCACTTTCGCTGAAGGCAGGCCCTCGCAACGTCCGCTTGAACCAAGGCGGCTTCGGGAATCCAGACAAAGTAAGGTAAGCCGGTTAACCCCATCCCCAAAGCTCTACCCTAGTTAGTCCGTTTACATGCGAGGCCGGACCCCCCTCCCCCAAACACCAGCCCAGCATGAAACTTTTCGACAAATAGAGGCGGTAATGAATCCGAAAAATCTGTCCACTCTCCCAAGCTCAAGCCTGAATTCGAACACCGAGGTGCAGCTACGCCCTACACAAAGAGAAGAAGAATCAATGAGGGTGCAGGCGTGTAAGACACTGAGTTGCCTCCATCTTCTGCTTCCAGCGCTTGATCACATATCGGCCCACCAGGCCTGCGCCACCGACCTGGCTTTTCTGTGGAACTTGATGGGGGAAGGAGGGGAGGGAGATCGCGCGACTCAAGCGACGAGTTAAGAAGTAGTAAAATAGTATATAATGGAGCAGGTAAAGCTTTCATGGATGCACTGAAAAAGGCGGCGCTGCTTGACACTTCGAGACTACACAAAGCTTTCGCTGCACAGAAGATCGCAGACCTCCAGGCGTGAAGGTTCCGAAAAGGGAAGGCACAAGGAGCCCCAACTTCCCAAATATCTGCACGCTGCAAGGGTGAGGCTCGACTGGTGTCTGACGCCCGTCGGGTGTACGCTCTGGTTTTGTGGTGCTGGGCTAACAACAGACGCCAGCCCAAAGGCAAACCAGTCCAGTGCTGGAGTCGAAAAGCACTGTTGCCAAAATCCATCTAAGTCAAGCCACAGGCGTGAGCAAACACGGGTTTGTTCAGCTGGTTCGCTGCTGAAGAGAGCGCAGTTCATGTGTGAACCTCATCGCAATGACTGCAGCCCGTGTGCGAACAGCACTGCTACCTTCTGAGCCCGACTTAATAAAATGCTACATCAAGATGTTTACACGGTGAACGTGCAAGCTACTCAACCGATCAGCTCGAAGTTGAATCCACCTAAGTATGCCCGCTTGCTCCGGCATTTTTGGCCTTGGGCGCTTCTTCTGGAAATATGAGGCAGGTCATGAACAGCCAGCATTGGATTCAATGCAAGTCAGATCAGAAATGCTCAAAATGCAACACCACAAACCGCTGCTGGTCAGTCTCGTGTCATCATTCAGGTGCGTTCCTGTGATCTATTTCTACCATTTGTGACCATGCCCCAAGCTGACCACCGCATCTTCACCAACACATGACAGGTCTGCCACAACGACTGCGGGCGCTCTCTCAGCCATAGCCGCACAACCTCACCGAGTCACTGGTCTGAGAACCATGTGTCACACGTGAAATGGCGCAGGTGCAAGCTTCAATGCTTCACAAGTTAGGCGTAGGCACGCCTATCGTGAAGATGGATACAATCCACGCACCCCATGTTTCAACGTTTCAGCTTCGGGTTGATTTATCTCATTACGATCAAAGCTTATTAATATATACATCGCTTCAATTAGTATAATAAGCATCTTCGGATGTCCTTACCTTTCTGTTTTTTTGCTCTCTTCAAGCTTATCCATCTTCTCTACTATTTTAACTATGGTTCTTCCATCTCTTTAACTGTGTTTCCTTCAACTTTTTGATGGGCCTTTTCACTTCATTTGAGAAATCACTCATATGTATATATATATATATATATACATGCTCAGATTAACAGATTTGACCCTTTTAACGCATTTTTCAGTGTCTCTTGTCTCTTCCTCCTCTCGCCCTAACTCACCCCTGCAATGCTCACACGTTGCTGCTAAATTCTGACTACTAACGTTTGAAAGCTGTTCATTGGATAATTCTCTTTACACCTCTTCCATTCAATGAGTTCTTCTTTGAACTCTTTTAACTCTCCGAGTACAACAAGCATTATATGTTCAACTGTCAAAACATTACATAACACAACGATATGTCATGGAAATCTACACTGCTTAAGATTTAATGTCCGCGCCACACGAAGTAGCTGATACATTTTACTCTTCTTGTCAAATTAAGCCAATGGGTCAGATACTTCCCGTTCTCCGTCCATCGACTACAAAGGGGATTTGTTAGGGTTTTGTTCTCCTTCCTCCTGCTGGTCTGGGGGCACTGTACGCTGCACTCTGTCAGTACACAAGATATCTATTTTCAAATAGATTAATTATCATTAATTGAAACCCGTATATTTTTGTTTCAACTCTTCTACTTTCGTCAAACGTTCATCTCCTGACATACTTCTCTGAATCCCCATTTTAACCTTTTCGATTTTCACTTCCAACTCATCTATCTTTCTTCAATGGTCGGGCTTCTCGGTTGTAATGGTGTTCTTACAAAAAGCAACTGATGTTGCTTCTATTCTTTCCTCCATTCTTGTCTTTCTTGTATCATCACTTGTTTTTTCTTATCTTTTTTTCTACATCTTATCTTTATATAAGTTTTTCTACATCTACAAGCAAAGCAAGAAATACCACTACTATGTTCACATGAGGACCGCCATTGTTTTCTCTTGGTTGAGAAAAAAGACAGATATATGTATATATATATATACCTATTTATATGTACGTATTCATAATATTGCAACATTATTTATTTAACTACATAGGCTTATGGAAGGCAGTTTATAAACTAACTTATCGCTTCTTGTTTCTTCCAAATTTTCAATGCGTTCAATTCAACCCTTTCAAGAAACTAAAAGTATCTGTTCTAGTTTTCTCAATAGGATTCTGTATTTGTTTCATGATTTCCGTAGCACCACATTTAGATGCTTAGAACCCATTGTGTAGTACAATGTGAATTTTTCGACAGCGCACCCTACAAGAAGCCAGAAAGAAGGATAAAACCATGACAGTGGAACATAGCAACGAGTTGTTTAGTAAGAGTGTAGAGGAGAAACGCAAAGCAGCGGGACAGAACAGCTTTGTAGCACCCAGTGCTTATTATGAGTTTCAAATAGATTCAGTTTTTTGCATGATGCCAATCAAAAAATTAGGGTAGGAATGATATGTATAGATGTATTTAGTAAATATATGAATGCCGTCATGCTGTGCTGATTTCCTCAAAGAAACCGCCTGACATAGGGGTTATGGACAAATGAACGGAGGCCGAAACCCGTCTATGCGTGTATATAAATATATATATATATATATACGATAAAGGGAGTTTCAACAATGAGAGCGTCATTGACAAGTTCAAAGAGGAAGAATAGATTTGCTCAGGACAGGAGGGCATCCGGCATGCGCAGAAAGAGCCATCCGAACACTGAAACATAGGCTGCATACTGCATAACAGAGTTGAAAATGACGCTCCTGGAGAAGCCGAGTTTTTCTTGCTCCAAGAGAGAAAGGGCGAGTTTCCCAAGTTGGGGGACACGTTTCCATTCTCAGGGGAAACGGGGAGCGCGTTCCCATTTTTCGGGGAGACGGGGAAGGCGAAACGGGGCAAGGCGTAGCGCATGAAGACTGCGATTGCCATGGCAAAACGCTGAGAATTCAAGCCCTGAACCACCAAAAAACCCACAAATTTGCTGAGCACGCCTATCGGAAAGATGGATTTTCGAAACCCGTATTTGATTAGGCTGAGTAACAATTGGGTTTAACAGCAGGGGGGGACGGGGATTGTATCCATCTTCACGATAGGCGTGCCTATGCCTGCCTAACCAGCTTCTTAAGCCTCTAAGCCGTGGAGAAAATGAACAAGAATTCTTTGCTGAGTTCGGGACAACAGATGCCGGGAAAGGGCGAGGAGCGCAGATGTCTCTGTTGCAATGTTTTGTGCGAATTTGTGTGGCAGTCTGCATGTTGGCTCGTGGCTCTGTAAGCGGTTCTTGCTGCTAGCACCTGCCCAGATGCCATGCTTCTGGCCCAAGCAGAAGCCACAGCCATGCTCACAGCGGCGTGCACAGCTTAAGCCAATCCCAGGGCCAACTGCATCTGATCAGCACATCGGGCTTTACGGGTTCTAGTTACAGGGGCTGTCTTCCACGCCGATCATTCTGATTCTGATCCCCCTGAACGCGACCTGCATGTTCAAAATGTGAATTTGTACGTGTATAATTAAAGATGATGCTCTGGCTACAAGTGAAGCTTGCATCCCTGAATGAATCAACTCTGGTGGCATGGAGGTCCACGCCTGCGAGCGCGCCTTTTGAAACTCCGCGGACGGAACGATGGAATGGTCGGCCTAAGCCCTAAACAGTGTGAACCTGGAACTGAGGCTCCAAAGATCCACGGCACTGCCCGGCCTGCGAAGGAAGGACCAGATGGGGTTGTGACTCAAGCCGGCAGCTCAAACTGCTTGGCTGACTAAAAGCAACTGGCCTTATATCTACACTTTTCGGGGAGGCATTGCCACTCATTCTAGTGATAGTGATTCCAGTAATTCAACAGGTATCTCACTTGCAAGTAGTCGGTGCGGGCCTTGGCTCTTCAGCGAAGCGTCGTCTCGTGGCGCTTCATGTGTCCGCGGATTCGCGTGTCGATGCCTCTTCGGTAAGAGCTGCAGCTTATGGACAGCTTGCTCAAAACAAAGTATAATACCTACTGTAGCGATCTTCCGCAAGTATTGAGCTCCTAAACACTCCGGTCTCGGGTACGGCCAGCTCGGAACTCGGGAGTGGTTTGTAGGACACATCCGGCATTCACTCTTGCAATCGGCTTCCCTTTTCCGCCCAGCCCCATCTGAAAGATCAAGCCTGGGGCTCGTGGGAAGTGCGCTAGGAGATCTTGCCCGGCTTGGAGCAAAGCCTCGACTTGGATCTTCGAACACTAGAAGTTGGGTCAGGGGAGAAAAAAAGGGACTGAACCTGGGGATTGGGGTCCACAAAAGCAGCCAGGGTGCTGTCTTCCAAGCCTGCGCGCCCTCTTCGGCGAAGCAAAGCCTGGGAGTTCACTGGCAAAGACGAGCCTCATGAGTGCTGTTCTCTACTGTAATTCATTAGAACCATTTATAATCTATACATCACCTTCCGCAGCTTCTCATGCCATGATTAGACGGGCTTCGCTGCTGAAGCCTCTGGGTACAGATGCCCAGTTGAAGTTCGCGTGGTTTAGTAGCATGAAGACATGGCGAAACTGGAGTCACAAACTGCAAACTTCGGGTCATGCTTAGGCTTTGCGCAAGCACGGGTGGTCAGCCACGCACGCCATAGACTGGGACGGGACAGGGCATCTTTCATCCTCTAAGTGGCGGGTGATTGCAATGTGTTGGCATGTTGGCCAAGAGGACCTGAAGCCATCTGTTGAACTTTCAATTTAATTCAGTATCAACTTGCGGCCGGCTCACCTTGCTGAGACACTGGGTGCATCATTCGCTCCTTCCACAACCAAGTCTGCAAGCTGATCTCATGTGACAGCTTAGCTGCCGAATGTAGTTTGCGAGTCGCTTTGTGCAACCTGAGGGTTTTCTGGGCTGCTCGAGACATTCAAGCTTCTCAAACCCTGCGGCCGTACACACCTCTCTTAAAGAAACCCTTAACCCAAGCCCGGATCCGCCCCGAAAAGTAGCTGGCGGGGATGCCACGACTGTAAGGGAGGCAGAACTCTGCGTGAACCCAGGTGCCAGCTCTGAGCAAGTCGTGTTTGTCCGGGGGGGTAGGCTGGTGCGTTTGCCTGACAGCTCTGCATGGTCTTGTTTGGAAGGCAGTGGCTCCGGTGTGTGGTGGCCCGAAAAACGTCCATGGCACAGGTCCCACGCCGCAAAACGCGACGTATTCGGAAAACCCGGAAGACCCTGCGCCCCGCCTTTCTGGGGAGCGTCTTGTGGTGCCCGGGCACGGCACCAAACACCGCACTCAAGCTCGATCTGCAGCTGAAGAGTCGACCTTTTCAACGCTCAAGCCGATGGACACTGTGCTTCATGATCTTGCGCTTCGGCATTTCGGGCCAACTCTGAAGGGGTGATTCTGTTTTTGTTTATAGTTCAGATACATGCACATGGGGCATGGGGGATGAGGTCTTGTGCTCGGATGGTCAGCATTCATGATGGCATGACCCGTCACGATGCTCAGTTGATTTCAAGTGTGAACGTGCGCTGGACCCACTTCAATCGATCCTCATTGGCGCATGCTTGCTTAAATTTGGGGAAAGTACCAACACAAACATACCCCCAGGGTTTGAACTCCCGAACGGCAATGCGAAACGAGGAACGACAGCACAGTGTTCCCACTTCGGCCATGCCACCACGCCGAGTACCCGAGCATGATTCGCACAGGCGGCGTGCCCTCACACGCAGCTGCCCTTTCGAGGATCTCTTCGAGTTTCCTGGAGCTAAAGAGTCAGTGTTGGGAACTCGTGCTTGACAAAAACCTGTATGGTCAATAGTCTCGTTCTGTTCTGGGAACTGAGCTTACTGCGGCAGTACGTGCGAAGCTGCTTACTACACCGAAAAAAAGCATGTTACATGTCAGTTGTCCTTACTGTAGAAACAAAACCACGGCCAAGGCATGCCAAGGCTTTGAATGGTTTCGGTATGGCCTCGGGGTCGCGTAGCGTTCAGATTAAAAGCTTGATGATAACCCTGGGGCAGGATTGAGGCAAAAAGGACAAACAGCAGATCACACTAGCGCCAAACTGGCGCTACAGTAACTTGTGGAGTGCTCAGCTGCGTGACAACATGTTGACTAAGCTACTGAGTACTCGCTCTGCTTCCTCCAAACCTGTCATACTCTCATATTCTTACACCTCCATGATCCTCCAGGCCAGGCAGCCCGCCGAACCAGACTCCTTGAGAAACTTGTTGGGCTTCGGAGATCTCGGGGAAGCTGTGGACCCATTCCTTGGCTCCCGCAAGCCTTTGAGAGTTGAAGCTTTTGGAGGTCTGTGTAGGACACACACACACATATATTTTCGTGGAAGACAAGTACGGTGCAACGTTTCTCCCCCACCCCTCACAGTCCTGTTTCAACTTCCCCCCACCCCCCCCGTGTTGAACAACACTTTCGCATTGCTTGGCCGTCACATGTTGCGCCCTGGCATGGTGGCTGCAGCTGCTCCCAGTGCTCGAGCTTGACGAAGCTGCTGTTCCGAGAGGGGCTCCTACGTGGTCACTGTCTGCCTCTTCGCGGATCTGTCGGCACCCGTCTGAGGGTTCGAGCGAGTGGGCTCAAGTGATGATTGGCGCGAGACCTTCTCTGTTGATTTCTTTTTGTCCCGGTCCAAGCTCCCCAGCATCCGGCCACATGTGCGTATGCTGAAGGCGACTTTGGAGCTTGGTTATATTCATGGCGCAAGGAATCCATCTTTCATGTTCGATGTCTTGACGGCCCTCATGGCAGCCGGCTTCCGGCTCCGACTTGAGCTGTCTCTACAAGTCCCTCCGCTGCATGTCCTTCATAGTGGCGATCGCGAAGCTCGAGTCGGAAACCGGAAACGCGCGCGACTTTAAATGAGTTCGCAAACTCGGCAAAGGCCGAATGACAGATGACAAGCCAGCCCATCATGTGGCACGCTTGCATCTTTTGCAGTTCGACTATCTTCTACTGATTCACTGCCGTTCCCGACATCCCGCGCGCGCACACGCACACACAGACACACGGGCACACAGACACACGCAGGCACACACACACACACACACACACACACATATCTCTGCGCACAGCCCAGCGGCGAGGTTGGGTTGGAGCGAGCTTCCAACAATCACCTAGGTGCCCCGAGTTTGCGAACATTGATCAAAGGTGTAGACCTATCATGTTCATGAGAGAGCTACAGTTCAACATGTTCACAGAGGGCATCGTCCAACCACAAGACCGCGGTGTCCCTGCTATGTCTCTTGAGCGCACGCATGTCAAAGCATGTCAAAGCAGTCTTCACATGCCGCCATTTCGTCATGCTACCAGCTGCTCCCACGGAGAGCTGGCCCCACAACGACTTTCAAGAGATCGGTGCTCCCTGTGGATGCTGCCCCGTATTTAAACCCATGAGAGTTCACGAAAAATGAAGCATGCCACGCCCATCAGCTCACTCTACGTTCAACCCCAAGCATCACAGCCTTCCAAAACCTTCGGAACTTCCCATTCAGGGACGAGACACCGGGCCGCCCCGGAAGACTCGAAGCTCTGCCGATGCTGGCATGGCGCTAAGTCGCTCAGCCCAATTCTTGTCCTAGCAGGCGAGCACAAGGCACAAGTAAGCACAAGTTAGCGATGTCTCTGCAGCTTCTTCTCAATGTCAAGTGCATTCCGGATTGCCATAACTCAGGCTTGCGATTGAAAGCATTCGAAGAGCTAGCTAGGGTGGGCGCAGCGGTAAGTACCCAAGTGCACTGTCAAGGTTTGTGTCTTTGAGGTGATTGCTCTATGGACGCAGGCAAGGTGAGAGGGCTTTACCAACCACGCGAAATGTTAGATGGTTCGCGCAGGGCGGAAGGCCACGACGACTCCGCGCGAGGAAGATCGCCCTCCCCGCCCCACCCCCCACCACGCGGAGCTTGATTCACTTGATGCTACACGGCCAAACTAGTGTTCCTGCTGCTGTTCTCGTTGGCAGGCTGCTGAAAAGAAAGGGCAAAGGCAGCATGGTCTCAGTATACTACTTGTTACAGTACTTGCTGGTGGAATTCGAGACATGCTGCAGCCAATGGCAGCCAAACCTCCAGGTACAAAAACCACACCCAACAAAGTTGCCGTCCTGGGGATCTTGTGCGCGCTCGAGCAGCTGCCTCACAAAACGACGTTTTGCTCTACCACCTTTACCATTCCAGCGCGCCCATGCTGAAACATCAGCATAAGTTATCTCGCTGTGCTCGCTGGCTCCATAAGGCTCCATGGCTGGCCCCTTGCAAATAACGGCACCGAGCTGAGTAGAAATGTTCAACCTCCTCACACAGCATCCTGCACCTTCAGCTACAGGTTGACCTACAGTGGACCTGCAAAGGTATCAGTGTATCAGGCCACTTCCCCTCAAAGAAACACCACACCCAGAAGGAACGGCATGCAGTCTAAGAGCTTGAAAGTGGTGTTGAGCCGCTTGTTGAGCACTAAGCCGCGCCTGGGCGCTGCCAGTCAGCTTTTCAGGTGTGTCTGGGTTGCGGATCGAACCTAGTCTTGTCTTCTGTTTTTGCAGAACCCAAGATGTCGCCGGTCTAGGGACTTCTGCTTTGGGAGATGCCAGGAGGTTGCCCAGATGTGGACAGCTGACTGGACAATCAATACACAAGCAATCAGAAACTGCCGTGCTAAGATATGTTGGGAGCACCTCACTACAAGTCCAAGGTAGCCCAGGGGCACCAATCCCGAGTCGGTGAGCGGATGATCTGAGTTGGTGTGTAGTATGACGACGGCCTGTCAGAAGCCGACGGCTGAACAACATCACGCAGCTTCGATTGCAACGTGATTTGCGAATCAGCTGCTTGGGAATCTTCTAAGCTAGCACTACTCGTGGCAGCAGAGCCAAAGGCAGGCAGCTGAATCTGCTGCCGCGATGGCATCGTGCGTGCTATCGAAGGTGGTGCTACAACTGCCAGCGCATGAACGAAGGTACTATCTGAGTAGTAGGTAGCGGCAGCATTTGCAGCAGTAGCATTTGCAGCATTTGCAGCATTTGCAGCAGCAGCAGCAGCAGCAGCAGCAGCAGCAGCAGCAGCAGCAGCAGCAGCAGCAAACGGCTGCAACGACAGCCTGGCACAACGGCATTGCCCATGTTGTGGTTATCATACCCTTCGCAGCCTGTCATCTTCTTTAGATTCTAGACATGTTAGAGCATTCACTTCACAGATGAAGGCCTGGATGTCACACGTGGCCCCGCCTGGTCAAAAACAGGCTCCCGGATGCAAGAGATCGGATGCGTCATCAAGAAATCCTCAGCCACCGTTGGCATGAAATTGCCATCGAATCGAACTTCTAAAAACCCAGGATCAACCGAATTCGGCTGCACTGGGAACCAGAGTTCAGAATACTCAAGGAAAGGTCTGATGCATCGAAGACAACCAGCAGGAAGGAGTACGTGCCGAGGCCCGCGGACACAGTTTATCCCGAGGTGTGAGAATCGTTGGCTTTCTGGGTCCGCAGGTGCGATTGCTGGAATGACAACTCTGGCGGATACCGATCTCTATCTTTTTTCCATTCTGTCTTGTGTGCCGGAAGTCGCCAGGCAGGATCTGGTAGTGGCCCAATGGGTCGAAACTCTTCAGGAGCTGCGGCACACCTGATCTGATCATGTCACATGACATTGTATGCACCCAGCCGTGTTTGACGCCTACAGGCCTGGTAAGAAGCCTCAAAGCTTGCTTCCTCCGAAAAAAACTGCTATAATACTGCTTGCCTCAATTACAATGTTGGAACCCCATCGTATGTATTACCCCATGTAGCTGTATGCATTGCCAGTCTGATCCAACTTGTTGCGGGAACAGCGGCAAGGAATACACAACAACAGGTTAAAGTACAACGCCTCTTCTTGTCGTCCATAGCTGTGCGTTTTGAAGGGTTTTGAAATGTTTTGAACGTTGTCCCTCCAAGACCTCCCCAGAATGACCAAACATCCCCTCAAAAGTCCCAAACCAACACAAGGCTCCGGCACCTGCCAACGACGCTTCGGCATCCGAGTCATGCTGCTCCTCATCCTCCTGCTCTTGCTGACTCTGGATCTCGGACATAACCTGCCCGTCCCGTCCCTGGCTGGTCCATGCTGGGTCCGCCAGCCGCTGTGTGTATGTGTGTGCGTGCATGTCTCTGTCTGTCTGTCTGCCTTTCTTCTTCGTCTTCTTCTTCTTCTTGTCTTCTTCTTACTTCTTCTCGTTACTTATTTGTGTGTCATTCTTCTTCTTCTTCTTCTTCTTGTTATTCTTCTTCTTCTTCTTCTTGCAGAGGGGGAAGGCATGGACTGAAGAATGTCGACTTTCCTTTTGGTTCTCCTCACTTCAAGAGCTGGTTTCGATCTGAAACCTCTCAAGAATCCCTTCTTGCTTCAGGCCTCCTGGGGTCTCAAGAATCCCTGAACCCCAAACATCCCTAAACCCTAAACCCTAAACCCTCAACCCTAGATCCTAGCCCCTAAACCCTGCTGTCCAGGCCTGACGAGCCTCTGAGAAGCGTCTGTACAGTTCCTGGGCCTCCTGCACATACCTGCGCAGCTTGTGCTCGGCAGATGAGTGAAGCGTGGCATCTAACTCAGAATCCACTGCAGCAAAATAGCATCTAAACCCGATGTATACCTTTAGAAGCACGGAAGGGCTACAGCCGAAGACCGGCTGTGACCTCCATGTTAACATCAACCTCAAGACTTTGGAAGAGGCCTGCATCTGACTGCATTAGAGTTCCCTCTCTTAGACACTTAGCGCCCTCTGCTCTGTACCAAGGCTTTCCAAGGGATTATGAAACACGGCCAGGCTGAGAAGTCGCAGCAGGAAGAGCGTTACCAAGGTGAAAAGTAGGACCAAGTGCCTGATTTTGTCATCTTTTTTCATGAACCACAGCATAGACCCTGCTGCATTGGCAGAATGCCAAAGACTGGGAAAATGCCTCCCCGGCTTCGCCTCATTTTCTACGACCTCCGAATCTGGTGAGGGTGGTCTGCGTACTACCAACAACCTCAACCCTGCACCTTCTCATCCGACCTGGTACGTATATGACAGCGCAAGACGCCGCTTGGCCGGCAGCATGGATTGCAAGTTGAGAAGAAACACCCAACAGAAGCGGTAGCCCAAGCAAAAATGGACTCAACACACTGGCAGAGCCCTGATCCGGAACCCCGCATCCATGTGCATCCTACTCGAGGTCCTACTCTGCCCTTCCCAAACCTGGACTCACCCGAGGCATGCCGAGCCGCGGCATGCCCATGTGCAATGCCCGTGCCCGGTGCTGGCCTTAGCTGAAGTTTAGGGTGCGCCAGACTTGAGGCAACCTTCGGAATTTTGAGGCTCAGGTACTCGGGGAGGCATCAAGGTTCTGGAGGGACATGACGGACATGAGTCACAAGACCTTCATGGGGAGCACCTCCTCGACCTGGAGAAGAAGAAACGAATGCCGCCATATTCGGAGCTGTGACACATAAGACACAAACCCCGACCACCCTACGGGCCAAGGGACGACAGGCACGTCGCGAATCGCCTCTGCCGGGCCGGGGGTGGGCGAATTGCGTGGAGCGGCCCACTGCCTGGGATCATCAGAAAAGTCTTTGATGGATCTGATTGGGTTTGGACTCTGGAAATGTTTTGAAGGAACAAGGGATGCTGTGGCTTCAGGTCCTAAGTACCTGCTGAGACCTTCACAAACTCCTGGCTTCATGGCCGGCTTATGCCTTCCTCACAGATGGCCACTGGAGGCAACAACACATTGATTTAATGGCTGTAAGTTGTTCTTCTGCAAGCCTCCCAGACCATATCCTCGGCAAAAGGAGAACCCATCAGCTGCATCCGCACCTCCTGGTCAGGGCACATAAAGCCGTCCCAAGTCCCAACGGCCCACTTGGAGATGTCAGGTCCAAGGATTCAGAGATCAAGCTTACGCCGCATCATGCCACATATGTCACACAAAGGATGTCACATGTTCACGCCGCCCTTGCGAGGATCTCGGCAAGCGGTTGGGGGAGGGTGGGGCTCGGCGGCGGAACCGCGTTGGGACATCACATGCGTGGGTGCCGAAACGGGCCGTCACTGCTACGCAGCGCCTATAAGCTTTTGGTCTGTCCCGGTTCTGAGAGAAGTTGTACATCCGCGGCGGCTGTCCCAGCAAACTGAGCAAGAAAGCCGGCTGCTTGTCCTGCAACGTGGAGATCACGACTGCTCACACATGCTCACACTATTTCGCCTTGCCTGAGCCTGTTTGATCAATCCCTGAAGCAGAAGGTCTCATGCGGTCATGCACGCTGAAGGCCTTCAGCACTCCCCAACCCAGGCTGGCTTGCCCCCCACCCCGGCTCTCCACCCTTCCTTCCCCCCTCTTATCACCCATCTACAAACCACGCAGAAGAGAGTTGTGAGAACAAAAGGGTTCTCTATTCGCATATTCCAACTCCTTGGGTTGCATTTTCGTTGTTATTCATTTTGCGAATAAAGCCGGCCAGATTTCGCGGCTATGACAAAAGGAATCGTCTGTGGACGACAGTACACTGAGTTTCCTAAGCCCCATTAAGTCCTTGCATCTCCGGGCCATAAACCAAAACTCCGGTGCCCTCTGCCATCACCCCGGGTGCCCAAAAGGCTTCTTCATGCGGCCTGCCGAATTGTGACTCAACTCGTCTTGCAATGTGATTGTCCTTGCGGTATGCATGAAACTGTAAGTCATGCTGTTCAAGGAAACTGGACTCTTGATGGTCAATCCAGGTTCAAGAAAGAAGGTTGCAGATGGGCGTTCTCTCCGTTGAGGCCCTACTGATCCCAGTGCGCTTGTTGGATTGGAGCTCGACGTTCAGCTCAACTAATATAGCATCAATTTCGCCATGGCTGCTTTGACTGGACTGTTTCTTTCTGTCTGTATACCTGTGCACAAAGAAATAAATTGTCAGATACTTACACAAATATACACACATGTCATGTGCATGCTCGCATGGCATGCTCGCATGGCATACACGTCCGCGCAAGTAACAAGTTCACTGCGGTCCGCTTGGCGGCATATCCGCAGCAAGGAGCGGAAGGCAGCACGCTCGGCTGCCATGGCTCGGATCCGGTTCTACGTATTGCCAGACTTTCCTCAGGGGCGGCATTGAAGAGTCCTACATTTTAAGAGACCTCTGCTTCGCGGCTATGTCCGTTTCCCAGATGTCGAGTCGCATGCATTAGGGCCTCGAGATCTGATGTAGGGCTAAGGGTTGGGGTGACAGGTCGTTCTCGGCATTGCCAAAGCACAACCGTCAGTTTTCTCAAGCATGTTCATGCTCGGGGGTTGTGGTGGGGCTTCGGGGGTTTAAGGGATCGGGGTCGCTGGGAGGAGGCTGCTGAGCCTCAGGAGCCCATTGATTTCGCACGCGGTGTGAAGCAGGTTCTCAAACCAGTTCCATGAAAACCTCATCGTCACAGGCCCCGCCATTCTCATGCTGCGTAAATACTGCCATCCGCCAGGAACATCCCAGAACTTCCATGCTAATGGCACGAACATTCTTGACATTTCGAAAAAAGTCATGGTCTCGTCTGTGCAAGCCAGTGGCAAAATAGGAGAGTGAGCCCACTTTACAGGTAGCAACTGTCAAAGTGCTTAAAGCACGAAATGCCTCCCATTCCAGCACAAAGGGAAAGCAAGCATCGCTTTTGAGACTTCAAGATTGCATTTGGACCACTAGAGCCTGTGAGTGGTGTGAGAAAGAACAGGCAGTGATAGCACCTGGTACAATCTGCTTGAGAGAGCTGCTGCCAGCTTCGACCCATGCAAAAACAAAGCCAACTCTCTGCTTTCACACACTGCAAGTCTGAGAATCCTGAAAACCCTGAGAACAGGGACACTGGAGTCGAAGGAGCCAAGCAACGCAGCACGTTCTTTGGTGCTTGGGGCGATCTGTGTGCGACGGGCCAAGCAGTCGTTCCATTAGCTAGTCTTCGCAGAGGCTTCTCGGAGTCTGCCAGGGTGTCTATTGGAGCAGAGAAAGATAAAATGATAAAGCAAAAAGGCGACTTGGAGCTGCTGTTTGTGGCATTGGCGTGAACTGGACAGAAGACTCCACGAAACTCCCGCCGGTGCACGCCTGTGGGATTGATCACGCGCCAAGAGGCCATATAGCTTCAGTGGAGGCATGTGCAGGTGCACCAAGCTGGAGGCTTGGCGGTCTGTCCGTGCATCCGAACATCCCGCTCTGGTTCTTTAGCCAGTAGCCAAGTGTCCAACAATAATTTTTTGCCTGGGCTACTCCTACACTGGCTTCGAGTGACCATCTCGAAATGGACTATTGTGGAAGATGCTCATTCAGGTCGAGGCGAGGGGTGCAAGCCTCTGGAATCTTTTGCTGGTACTTTCTTCGCTTGCTCGAAGCTGGGTAAACGATGGTAGGCCAGGGATAAGACCTGACACTTGTCATGCCTTCAAAGCCCTATGAGAAGCCTCCTCTCATCTCCTTTCTTTGTCGGCTAGGGGAGCCTATAATGACAACCAACATGGCCCCTCTATGCGCGCAAGTTGGCCGCAGGCCCAAAGATCAGATTTCTACAAAGATTTTGGGATATTGTGCAGCACCAGGTGTCGCAGCGAGAGTCTGTTCCACGCAAGAAAGCGTAGCAGCCGCAACTGAGGGCTCAAACAAATACAAGCGCCACAAAAAACATGTAAAACGAACAGCCTGTAGCCTTGTCAACACTGCAAGTGCTGTCGCCTCGCATGGCACAGACTCCAGCTGCTTTGAATTGAGGCTTGTGATAATTAAGCAAAAACTAAGCAAAGTTCAAATCAAACCAATCATCTAAAACTAGAAACTTAGAAACCCGAATTTAACCTGACGAAGGTATCCGGGCAGAGGATGGGCGCTTTTTCCTGAGAATCAACCCCCTAACGCGGCCCTGAGGTCAGAAGCATCTGCTGAGGCTGGACCTGCTCAGCACAGGAGATCGGGGCTTCGGAAGCTTGGCACCGAACAGCTCTGTGGCCTCAGCCTGTACCTCTTAGTTACAACAGTACTGCAACACACCGGAACGCCTGGGCGGCACGCGGCGACAGCACGGATCTCAAGCTGCACAAACTGCAATTAGTCTCCAGGCGGCCCCCCTCTGGAACATCTTAAGCCAAGCAAAGAACAGTCGGGGAAGCCTTTGGTTGCCTCCCCTTGGGCCCCGTCGGAGCCTTACACTCCAGCCGAGATGGGAGCTGTTTCCGCCGCCAGCCTCGCGAGCTCCTTCCGAGTTTCATGTTGTTTCTGTTTTCGGCAGGTCTCTACAGCATACCGATGCGCAGAACGCTTTTCAGATCCTTTCTGCATGGACAGGGGCGGCCCAGGCCCCAGACCCTTCGGTGGGACAAGTCCCGTCTGACACACATCAATGAACCTAAGGCAGCAGTTCCTTGGAGACGTAGACACGCAAGTCAACCACATCCTTCCGGGTCAGTGCAGGAGTTCACTGATTATAGCAAGACATCCAACCGCAGCAGCAATTGCGCTGTGTGGGGCTCTAGCTGGGTCAATCTGAGAAATTGGCTTGCAAGGGTGAACATGTCGCACGATGCTACTGCCTTCCCCACAAGCTTACAGAGAAGAGCAGCCAATTCCCACCATCCACATCTGAAGCATGATGCCATTAGAGGATAACTGTGACGAACGATCAAGGGTAGGGGCTCGGTTCAGGACTCTACTGTAGTTCTTTCTTTCGGGATTGACCGGGATTGATTTGGTTGGTTAGAAAGAGTTAGTTGGATGAATGCACTTTACATGCGCGCGAGCGTAGGTTCAAACCGGTTTGGAGCTTGAGGTTTTTTCCTGGTTTCTGCAGCATGCGTGGATAACGCGTGGACTCAGTCTCTGGAGTGCCAGTCGGGAATTGTTTTTCTAGCCGCTTCTTCTTCTTCTTCTTCTTCTTCTTCCTCCTCTTCCGCTCTCTCTGCCGCGCCATCCCAAGGGTAGGCCACTATAGAGGTATCGAATCCTCCCCCAGAAATGCCTTTGCAGTGACATGCGCATGAGGCCCCCGGACTTTCACAAAAGGGCTGCCCTCCATGCTCGGGCCTTGACGGTTGCCTGGCTGCAGCCACGGAACCTCTGGGCCACAAGGTCTGAGAGCTTGGGATTGGATAGGGACTTCATGAAAAGCTGAGAAGATCCAGTCGGCAGCCCAGCTCTGGGCTTCGCAAGGACAAGGGGTTTTACTTAAAACCCTGGGATGTTGTCAGCCCTGGTCTCCACAGCCGTCCTCGAGCGCTTCGAGAGCTGGGCCGGGGCTCCAGGGATCGCAACAGCTGGCGATGCGCGGGATGGGCGGGTTATGCGATGCGCATCAAGTAGCCAGGCTAGCCGTGTACTTTATTTCACTGTTCTTTAGCAGTGCTTATGCTTTTGTGCCTTCCAAGAAGCTGCAGCACAGTCTCGACAAAGTCTTCAAGGCTCAGCGTAGTTGTGTCCCTGAAGACAAAATCGGCCTTGAGACCGGCGAGTTCAAAGTACACACGAACGAGCGCAAGCGCGTGAACCCGCGCACGCACGGGCACCGGCACGACCACTTGCACCCGCACGCCCACGCGGGTGCGCGCGTGCACACGCATGCACACACACGCACACGCACACGCACACGCACACGCACACGCACACACGCACACCCGCACACCCCCACACCCACACACACACACACACACACACACACACACACACACCGCACCAGATGCTGTTTTGTGTCAGTTTGGCTAAAACTTCACAATCTAAAATGCCGAATGCACTGCAAGCTGCAAGGAAGACAGAGCATGGTTCACATTGATGCCCTTACTGAATATGGCCCAGCGACATAGTCCACGAGAGCCAGCACGTTGACACCACCTTCATACCTCTGCTGCACGGTCGGACGCATGGCGCCCACCCATTGACTGAGTGAACACCCTGTCGCAGCTACAGTCGACCTCTTCTGCTGGAAAGTGCAAAGCCGCGTAGACAGGTAAGGAGGGCACAGCTTCTTCACAGCTTCCGGATTCTGAATCCTGAGACTTTCAGTTTAAAACACGTCGTGGGCACAAACTGCTAGCTGCTAGATCTTGCTGGCCACAGCCAAGATCAACAGATTTCTGCAATGGTGCAACGCAACGCTGGGCCGGCTCCCAGTGGTTGCTCTGTATAAATATAAAAATAAATAAATATCAATATATATATCAATATATTTATTTATTTATTTATGTTTATATTTATTTATGTATTTATAGACTACATCCCCGACCCAGACTAGCTGCAAAGCTATCCTGGCAACGTGTGCTCCGTTTCACTAGCAAGGCTCATGTGATTGAACTCCACCGCGGTCACAGTTCGATCCTCGTTCTCATCCGTGAGCTTAACCTGCGTTGGTGAAGCTCAAGAGGGAGAAAAAAAAGGTGCTGGCTGCCACCTGCCAGCTGCACTCCCAATGCATCCACATCACTTGCGGTGGGCAAACGCCGCATGGCTTGAATGAGGTCCGCTTACCAGGGCCGGCCGATCGGAGTCCGGCAATTTGTGGCCAAGGAGCGACATCCGCGATGTCTTTTTTCAAATTCTTGAGGCTCTGCTCCTTGCGGAACTTGGCCGTGTTTTATAGGAGCTGCAGGTTTTGAGGCAAAGCCACAGGGCAGGGCAAAGATGCAGAGGCAACAAGGCCTAACTCGCGCCTCCTTCCTTCCCAGAGACGAAAGGAAGAATCCTCGCCAAATCTGCCTGACAATCTGAAACACAGAATTTCCAGTCCTCTTGCTCTATCTGCGCAGTGTTGCCAACGACGTCCACCATGACACCGATGAGCATGTTCCTTGGGTTTCTAAACGTGACAGAGGCTTGAGGGACAAACGCCCAATTCGAAAGGCAGCAAGGCCTTTCATCAAAACACTACCGACAAGAAGTGATGGCCACACGCACCGCCTGACTCTCTTCAGGAAACAAACGGTTGACACTTCGTAAGAACAGCTAGGACTTCTGCTCTGGCTGTCCCGAACCGCCACTACAGTCACAGCAGTGACAAAACAGCCAAGCTTCATCAAGGTCAGGGAGCCTGACGCGGGATCAAAGGCTTGGGGAAATTTTGTGTAGCTGCTTGACAGCTTAGGCTGTGCGTTTCGAGTAGCCTGTCACGAAAAGCCAGTGCTGTTCAACGAGAATGATCTGATGGCGTAAAGCCCAAAATATCTGATACCACATGCTTGGGGGGGTTCCATCTGTCGGACGTTATCATCGTGCGGAAATGAATGGTCTTGTAACACGGACGATATCATCATTCGCACGCAACGAAGCCACGAAATGTCGTAAGTACCGATGTTTTACCATTTCATGTGCACGCAACACTGCAAATAACCAACCACACATGTTATTTTCAGTGTCCATTCGCACGCAACGAAGCCAGGAAGTGTCATGAGAAGCTAAGAAAGTACCAGGCGCCACCGGGCGCGCGTGGCTGCTACTGCTACTGCTACTGCTACTGCTACTGCTACTGCTACTGCTACTGCTACTGCTACTGCTACTGCTACTGCTACTGCTACTGCTACTGCTACTACGAGTAGTAGTACTCGTACTCGTACTCGCGCTAGTACTAATACTAGTAGAAGTAGTAGTAGTAGTAGTAGTAGTAGTAGTAGTAGTAGTAGTAGTAGTAGTAGTAGTAGTAGTAGTAGTAGTAGTAGTAGTAGTAGTAGTACTACTACTACTACTACGACGACGACGACGACTACGACGACGACGACTACTACTACTAGTACTAGTACGCGCACTTTCAATATTCGGAAGGCGCGCTGCCTGCGAAACTTGTGATGCGTTTTGTGACAGGCACCCTGAATCGCTGGACCCCACGGCGCAGGATTTTGACTTGCAGCATCGCAATTCAGCAAGGGCCCGCCTACCAACTGGTACGCCAGCAAGAATGCGAAAGAGAGCCCATCAGCATTGAACATGTCCATCATGAAGTGTTGATCAAAGCCTGGGGCCGACTCACACCAGAACCCCCCTGACAACGCAACACATGTTGCGTCTGTACTGTGTTTTTTTTCTGTGTCCCCCTGTCTGTCGCCGTGCTTTTTCCCTGCCGCGTGATGTTGTTCGCAGCTTTGAAACCGAGCCACCACAGAGTGTCTGCAACAGAAGGAAAGTCGTAGCTATAGGGACGCTGTCGAATCTCCCGTCGCCAATGCCTGGGCTTCAAGCAGGGTTGAGGGAACGGGCCCCAATGTTTGGCCGCAGCCTGCAAAGAAAAACTTCCAAAAAAAACTCAGGTGCTCTTGTTCTGGAGCAACTGGGTCATGGCAACTGCAAAGGTATACGTTACGAGGACGAGGAGGAGCAGCGTGGTCAAAACAGAGCGGATGGCCTCGCAAGGCTCCCCTCAACCCAAAAAGGCCAACAAAGTTTTGTCTCACAAGCCAAGTGTCTTACGTTGCTCTTACTGGTCAGAACTGTGCGTTCCCCACTCCTGGAACATGCCATGGAGAAGGATCATCAGCTCGGGGACAAAGCGGAAGATCCGGCTCATTCGGAAGGCGCGGGTGATCCGTATCCTTGCCAGAAATGCGGTGCTTTTGCCATTGCCATGCTCTCAGGATCAAAGCTACAATTTCGAGTACATGCTGCTCACGGTACTTGCTGATGTGGACATTCCATGGATTCGGATGATCCAAACGTTTAAGCTGTATCTGTTCATAAACCTGTCACAGCATATGCTGAGTTTTCTCAACCCAGACCCCACAGTCATGCCGTATCGATGCTACCTGCAATCATTGCTGCTTTCGCTTGGCTGTGTGAGAGCTTGCCCGAGAGCCAGGTGACGTGAGGTATCATTTCCCTCAGCACTAATGGACCCACCCACCAAGTCCAAAACCTGCACTTCACGAGGTCCATGGCTAAGGAAAGACAATCCAAATCAGAAGCCCAAACTTTGGGTCATTGTTGCTTGTTCCAAGCTTGCAGCTGTGCATCAGGCGCAGCGCCCGCAGCGAAGGCGTGATGCCTAGCAAGGCCGACAAGTGACAGCAAGTGTCACTTCAGTTGTCGGGTGCCGCTGGGACGGGCTCAGCAACAGAAACTGTACGATAGCATGTTTGCAGCTGACCATCATTTGCCATGCCTCTGCATGCAAAATCTCACCCAGGAAGTCCACACAGGCCTGGAGAAGGGTGCTGGGATGAAAGGCCCGCCACAGCTGCGAGCAGCACCAGCCCCCAAGTTTCGATCGCCATGGATACCTGGGCTCGCTGTTGAAATGGTTTTTGCTTTCTTTCGTTTGGCTGCGCCTTGTGCACAGTGGCCTCGCGTTTCTCATGGTTTACGGAAGGGTATGTTGCGAGGTCAAAAAAGCAAAAGCTGAACAGGGAGGGGATGAATGGGAAGGGTGATGTGTGCTTCCCCGAAATACTGCCAAAGGGCCTAGAGACCGTCGACAAAAAAACGGCAAGAGTGCACAAATAGAGACAGACAGACACAAAATTCAAATTCTGAAGAATAACAGAAACCGTCGGTTTAATGTTCACTGGCATGGTTCTAAGACACCCAGCTTGTTCTGAAGCACGCGGCCAAGAGCCAAGTGATCACCGAGGTGAGTGCGGACGTTGTTCGTGTTTTGTTCCATGTTTGATTGTTGAAGAGGCCTTTGCATGAACGGATGTGCAAGCTTTGACCTGGGGACTTTGGAACCTCCTGAGCTCAGCTGCCGCTAAGAAAAGGTCGAAGATGAAGGAGTTGTCCGACAGGGCATCCCGGGGGTTCTTGTATGCCATCCAGCGAACCGTGATCTCGAAGCAGAAGTAAGCCTCGGAGTGATGTTTAGTGTCGAATAAATGGACTTGGGGAATTGGCCAACGGATCTACGTAGGAGAGGGGGTTGGTTGAGGGGCCAGGGAGGTTCAAACTAGGAGTCTAACAAGAGACACATACTAATGAGACTGTCATCATCTGTCACCCCTTCTGCGATGTCCGAAGGCCGCCGCATCAAGGTCTTCGCCATCGCTTTCGCTGCCACTCCCTCACTGTCACGGTCACGCCATGCTCGTCATGTGGTCGCTCGGCAGCCTGGAAGTCGCACGAACGCGAAGACTTCGCCGAAGCCCAAACAGCCGGAGAGCCGCGAGCTAGCAAGACGAGTATCTGCACCAGCGCAGCTCGACCTGGATGCCGGCACAAGCTCGCGAGGCTTCAGTTTGAGTCCGTGGTCACTTGCGAGCCTGTGCCCGCGTGTCTTGCACTAATGGCTTGGCATCAAAACGCCCACGTTCGCAACAGTCGCCTCTCGGGCTAAACCTTTGCCTGAACCCAGGCAGAGGGCCACAGACAAGTGCTTCACACGCTGGCAAGACTGTGAAAGCAAGCTTGGATTGACAGTCCTTTCGGATTGGCCTGGTTTTTCAATGGAGGACAGCGAAGACAGGCACGCTGCAGGTCCGAGTCGAGGAGTCAACCCGTAGTCTGGTCCTCCCCCGCCGCCCTCAGACGAAGTCCGGTACCATAGTACCATGTCACGCCCCTCCTGACCCCCTGAATTGAAAGCAAAGAGAAGCGAAGGTAACCTCTCGCTTCGCCAGAGGAGTCGGCAGGCTAGTGGCTGAATGGGAGGACGGTTCCGACAAACCTTCGACACGCACAAACGAGTGTACACCCCCCGGAAAGAGCGTTTCACCTACACACCCCACTGCGGGGCAGCGCACTGTGTGCCCGCACTGCTTGGCAACAAGCACTTGCTACGCCAAGCCAGTCTACCCAAACCACCAAGCTCCGAGGCATGCTAAACTGCAAACGACGGCCAGGGGAAGCGTGGCAAGCCTGGCAAACCCGTATACCGTGTCGGAAGCTCGCACGCTCCCTTGCAAATTCTAAGCGGAACGATGGTCTACCTTCACACTGTGAAAGGTTTTGAAATGGGGACTGGCAGGGCACATGGCGGGGCGCAGCTACTCAGCTACATTCGGAAAACATCAGCTTTCGACATACGCTCGAGCTGGACTGTCTTGTAATGGCAGCGGCGCCTGGCTCAGAAGACCCACTCTCTCAGCACTGCCGCACTTGCTTAAGTGCTGGAAGAAGAAGAAGAAGCCACCACCGAGATGATCTGACAATACGCTTACATACTTGAGACTTGTTGAAGGCCGTGACACTCAGTTTGGCAGCTAGGCATGCTTGTACAGCCTGTATGATAGCCTGTATGGATTATGGAAGAGCACGCCTAGCTTTCCAAACACGTCAGATACCTGTTGCACGCTTAGAGCTTCATCACGCCATCGTGCGCAGCGGTGCTGCGCCACGAAACGACTAGACCATGGAGGCAAGCAGCACAAATGAAGTTGTCCATGAGACGGAAAAAGTTTACGTGTCCACCAGCTTGGTTGTAATCCGTGTCGATGGCAATCCAAAAAGTGCTCAGCAAAACCTCAGTGTACCGCGAGACCACCGCGGCAAAGCAGTAGGTTGGTGGATGGCCGGCTGTTTTTGCCAGGGACTACGATGCTTATCTATGACGATCAGTTGGGGCACCTACTGGCACAACTATCAGATTGCTTTCAAGCCAGAAGATCCCACAGCTGACCGTACGGTGAATTCTCTCCAATCCGCAGTACTTCAGGGTTCCGTTGCAGGGTCTCTGATTTTCTGGGGCGGAATTGGGGAAGGTTTCGTAGGAAACCCATTCGACCCTGTTCGACCAGCACCCTGATGCCCATCTCGTTATTTCAAGACAGGAGGCCATCGACATGGTGAAAGACTTGAAGATGGGGCTTCGAGCGATGGCCTGTCGTGCACTTAGCCGCGGAAAGCAGGGAACAAGCAAGCACGGAAAAAACCCTTGAATGTATGCTCATTGTTACATAGTATACAACTGTGGGCACGCGTAAAGCAGCTCTATGCGTGCGATTCCCAGTTCACAGCAGAAGCGACAAGACAACACGTTTATCAGAGTGCTTCTTCGCCTATGGGGTCATGCGCCGGGGAACCCCTTTGTCCGCTTTGCCCCTTACCCCGAATGCCTGAACACACCCCCCCCCCCCCACCCCCATACCCCCACTCCCTACTGACCCTTCTTCGAGGACGGCGTGGGGTGCGTCCAAAATGTGAGCGGGACTCCCCAGCCGTCCAACAAGAACCTACAAATTTGGAACTCAAAGAAGGAGTCAAGCTGGCTCGAACATGAATGGAGACCCCAGAAAGTTGACCAAGTATTGAATGGACCAGCTCGCAACATGATGCTGAAGAGGTGGTATTCTGCCAAGCTTGCTACAGGCACTAGCGTTGAATGAGTTGAATGAGTAAATGAATGAGATCATGTCAACATCAAAGGTCCCAGGCTTCAAAATGCTGGTGGCAGCCTACAGTACACAACCACAGCGGCCTGGCAATACCCACTTTTGGAGTAGAGCTTCTCGGGATCGAGGACCTGGATTGGGGCGCGAGGAAACTCGTCAGGCTAGCTCCAGACATGGGTTTCAAGATTTGTCATTGCAGGTCACGGTGAACTGGGCAGTGATTTCGAAAGTCCTGGAGTTGCCTCATGTGACTCATGTGTCTGAAGCGTCTGGCGTGTGAGCCCTCTTCCAACCGCGTACATCACAAGGATAGTCGGGCCGAAAGCAAGCTGCAAATCTGATGAAGGCAAGATTCGTCCTTGTTGTTGATGCTGTCCATGACGCTCTTCCTCAACAGCTAGCACTGGCCATCGACGGACTCTGACTCCACATACAGTACCCCGCTGTCTGACAAGCTTGGTGTCATGGAAACCGTGCAACCCCACAGCCCGAAAGCTCTCGAAAGCTAATTGCTCGAGTTACGCCAGACTCTTGATCTCTTTCGGCTTGGTCAGCACCGGCTTCCTCAGCTGCGGTCGTCTGAACTTGTATCAAGTGTTCTCAACCAAGCCAGGTTAAATTCCTAATATCATAGTATTGGCTCGGGGCTTCGTGGGTTCCATCTTCGAATACTTCTATCTAGTGGAACCATACTGCTGTACGAAACCAACACATGAAGGGGCAGAGGTACCCAGACAAACACCTTGAAACGGCTCACCTGTCGATCTGTGCACCAAAGCCATTCGACCATAAGGCTCATGACAAGGTGCGAGAGGTACCGGGACATCGAGAGGCTCTTCATCGGAGACTGGCAAGCCACTCCAGGTTCTAATCACCCTGCGGCACCTACTCTGACGCCCTATATTCCCAGCAGTTTCCTACACACACACACACACACACACACACATGCAGTGGACAGTATGTGGACAGCGCAGGCACCTCGACGCTCAGCCTCGTCGCAGCCCGCCTGGCCCGTTGCCAGTGCTTTAGTGTTTTTTGTGGGGACTTTCCGGCATGTTGGGGCTGATGTAAACTCTGGGCCCCTTTATGGGGAGGTTCTAGGCATGTTGTTTTTCCTTGGTCGGATGCCGAAATGGGGCTCGCAATTTAGTTCAACCCCCATGGCTCATACAGTTTATGTGAGGTCAGTGAGGTTTGTGCATGCCAACCCCAACGCCACCAGCAGTAGCAGCTACACCCGTTTAGTTACGGTCTCCCAACTGTCGGCACTGCAGAGCCATCAATCCAAACATATGAACCCGCTCACCCTCCCGACTTCGTGGAAGTTCGAATTGTGCTGCTGTGGCCTGCAGCGCGAGCCGAACTGCAACGCCTTCCGACCGTGGCAGCGTCTTCTGGATTAGCCGCTTAGCCCTGGTGTTGACAAGAGCACTGCTCGTTTACGATACAGGAAGGGTCTAATTGAGGCAACCAGGGTAGCACCAAGAGCGGTGCGGGGGGGAAGCAGGAATGAGTTCTGTGCTGTTCACACCCGCCTTTAGTTCTACGTGTTATGAAACAAAGGTGCGAAGTGATGTGGCGATTTGTGCTGGAGAACTGGCTTAAGGCTTTCTTTTGGGGGCGGGGAGTCTGAACTAGAACTTCTACGTGCCCACGGAGGTCAGACTCATCCAGTTTGGACTGTAGTGTTGCCTGCAGTCCAACGGTTACGCATGTGCGCCTCCTCCATTTTCGTGTTGCCAAAACATAACATAAGAAAAACAGCCAGAAAAAGATGCATTTCTTGCGAGCATCTTTCAATAATCCCAAAAAGGGTCATACGCAAACCGTGTCGTAGTACCTGTATAAACAGCAAGTGCCAACATTGGATTATGCACGTACAGCCGCCAGAAATCCCTCGAAATTTAATCGCATGCTGCCCTCCCTCCCGATCATCTCACTAGACTCACTAGACTACCAAATTGGTCCATGCAATGAAAATCTGAGTTTCGGTTGCGGAAAAGGCCACACCTAATTCAATTGTGCATAACAAGACCCCAATAAAACGTGCTGAAAGCCCAGCGAGGAACACATGCATTTGTAGAGTTTATACTATTCTACACAGTCACCGCAGAAGCAGACACGCCAAAGACGCCCTCGAAACCCATGGAATCCCAGCGGAGGCAACTTAAGGCAACTTCTTTCGGGTATTCTGCTCCCTTCCGGCACTTCGGCATCTGTGATCTTTTAGGCTCTACCTTTAAGGGGACCTTTTGTCGGCCTTACAGCAGGAAGGCCTGGTTGCGCAGCGAGTCGCGAGAGAGGGAGGTGGGCAGCTGCGGCCTGACGTCATCTGACTTCTAGCACACCTTTCTGTCCACGCACCCAGAACGCACCCATCAAGAACTGTCACTCCCCAGACGCCCAAAGCCGGTCCTTCCGCCAGGGCTGCGCTCCAGGTCTGGCTGCCCGTTGGCCTTCGCAAGGTTTCGCCCGGGGTTTACGTGGGCTCATCCACTGAGGCTTTCCAGCTGAAGGAAGCTCGGCATAGTTGAGACCTTTCGGTCCAACCGGCATGGTGAGTTGGTTTCCTGAGGACAGCGAATTCGCATGGATAAGTTGAGTTGCCCCAGCGCGTGCTCGCTTGGAACCGCTCTGCATGTGGTTGCCCGTGTCCGAGGGCTTGAATGCCCACTCACCCTGCAGTAGAAACCCTGTATCATAGTATGCCACACCTGCTAAGCACCCCACCAAACTCCTACTAAGGCCCTACTACTATCACCAAATCATCCCTCACGTCCGTTGCTTGCCACTTGTGGCCTTCGACAGGCTGCTGGGGCTGGCCCCAGGGCTGAGCGGCAGCAGGGGCTCCGTGAGGGGCGAGGAGGAGGCGACCGAGGCCTGCGGCCTGCCGTTGGTGTGCTAGCAAATGTCGGGACTTGCAGGGCTGGGTGCTACGGCTTGAGGGTTAAAAAATGTTCGCAACATCTTTAGCCAGCGTTTTGCCGCGTAGTGTTCATAACTGTTTAGAGAATGCCCCAACGGAGAGAAAGGGAGAGAATTAGGAAGAAAGAAAGATACAAAGGAAGAAAGAAAGATGCCGATGTGTTGATGGGGATGTCACCGGGATGTCGTTGTAGGAACCCTCAGATCTCCTGCCCGCACATCTTAATCTCAACCCTGCGTGCAGCCTGCACCAAAGCCGCAAACAATCAACAGTCAGTCTGACCACCTGGTCACTGGGGCGCCGCCCGCACCGTTGCTGGTTTGCAGCTGCCTGCGTCGTGGCACTGCAAGGTAGATTCTGAAGTGGACGCTGGCATGGGAGCTTGACCCGTAGCAGCACGAAAAGGCCCTAACCAATTGGCATCCACTTGGGGCACCCTGAAGGCATACAAATTCCAGTTGGCAGCTTGCAATCTACAGACATAGCAGGCAAGGCCCAGGAAAGTCTTAAACGCACTTGCTGGACGTCTATACGGTTCGAACAGGAATGTTCCCACCCAGCTGATGGTCTTGTGCCGGCCTGGCCAGCGCTTGATTCAGCGACATCACCTCACAGAGGCCACTCCCTCAGACCCATTTGAGCGCTTGGCCAGCTGTTGGGCGATGCTCGCGGCGCAACATGCCCCATGAACGCTGTCTGCTAGTCAAGTCCCCGAATCGAACTGCTCAACAGGTGCCTGCTGGATGGCCAGCAGTTGAGACTGGAGAAGGTTCTGGACGCCTGACACCAAGGCTGACTTCAGTCCCATAGCCTTGGGCAAACTGGATGGGTGTAGGAATGCAACAATACAAAAACGGAACGATGTGCCAAGTTCCACGATCTGCAATGGCCAATGCATGGCCTGCTTCCTGGCTCGGATCCATTGCAGAGCCACGCCGCCAAAAGACTCAGCGGCCACGATGCATCCTGAAGAACGGTACCTATGTGGAACTCACTTTGCCCAAGCCTTGGTATGTGCAGTGAATTGCGGTGCATGTTTACATCGCATGCTGGCTTTAAGTGCATGGGTGGCCGAACTTGGCGCTCTGCAACTTTTGCTTAGAAAGTTACATCTCTCAAGCCTGGCAACTGCCCAACCAGCATCGAGCCGAAAATATGATTCTTGCCGCAGGGAGATCATAAACAGTCAGCCAAGAAATGCTCCTGTGAGTGATCAAGGAGTCAGTGAAGGTTCCGATGTCCAGGTGTGCGCAGGCTCAAGTTTAGAGTTGTGGGCTCAGGGTTTTGAGTAACAGTTTAGGGATGGGGTGATGAGTCGTGAGGCACATATCCAATAGAAAATCGGTATGGGTTTCAGCCTTGAGGTTGTAGGGCTCGCATCATGGGGCAGAGCACATGACTGGGGACAGTTTTTTTTTGCGAAAGCCGCAAAGCATCAAGCAATTCATGCTAATGTTGGACTGGCTTTAGTATAAGCAGGGTCTATAATCACAAGTTTCGAAGATTTATTCTGCGAACCGAGTTTGTTCAGGGCACCCGCTATCATCACACGTTTTTCCGGACGTTTTTTTTTTAGCCCTGAGGGCCTTGGGCTCCCTTAAAGAGCCCGAGCGCGGAGAATCCAGAAATCTAAGCCCGGCCAGTTCCATGTAAAGCCTTATGGAGAATCATTACGAAACGAGGCCCCGAACAAATTTTGTGATGGGCAGGTAACCCACGGGCCGGTCAGACTGTTTTAGTAAGTTTGTCTGGCTACCCTCTATAATACCAAGTTTTTTTTTCTCGGATGATTTTTTGGTGTTTTGGGTTAAGGGCTTACGCAGTAAGGCTTGAGGCCCTGAGGGCCTTGGGCTCCAGGAATCTTTAAAGGCTGGAAAGCTTCAGGCCTTGAGGTTCTAAAGGCTTGAGGCCCTGAGGGCGGTTTCCCCCCCCCCCCCCCAATTTGTTTGGGGGCCGCGCTGTGCGTTGAAAGAGGGTCCAAATTTGTTTGGCGGGGGGGGGGGGGCGGGCATACTAAAGACAGTGCAACATCACGGTACAGGCACACTTTGAAGGTTGCTGGGCTGGTATAAGCCAGGTTAATTAGGGTCCAGGTTCCAAGGTAGTACGAGCGCCGGGGGTTCATCAGCCCACGACCCCTGATCTCAGCCCACCCCAGGGCACACAGCTCAGCCCAAAACAAAAGAAGTCAGCCCAAAACCCTTTCCCCGAGGGCACAGCGGCGTCAGCAATGCCACTCACATGACAAAACGTTGGCGTTCTCCCGCGTGGAACATAGTTTTGAATGCTTTGGTATCGGTTTGGAGCGGTATCTCATGATCCTTTCCCCGAGGGCACGGCCACAAACCAGCAAAACATAACGTGCGGAATGAGACTTTTGAAAATGTTGGCGTTCTCCCGCGTAAAACATAGTTTTGTTCATGCTTTGGGGTCGGTTTGGAGTGGTATCTCATGGTCCTTCCCCGAGGGCACGGTCACAAGACAGGAGGAACAAAAACATAGTATCTCATGACTTCTTCCCCATTGAAAACACGGCTCGTTAAGATGTGTAGGGTGTTGAGTTTAGAGCATTAAGGTTTTGGGGTTTTGCTGCTGTCTTCCGGCACCAGCTGCACCTGGGCGTTTGTGGTGGGACACCATCGATACCCCATCTATACCAAATCGATACCACCGCGATACCCAAAACCCACAAAACAAGGCCGGAGTCAATTTCTCTGTCACAGCTTTCTGATTCTGATGATCGCTCTCAGGCTCAGGACCTGCTACGTTTGGTGGGCGAGCTCACTGCAGACATAACGCAGCTTAGGGTTTCGGGCTTCAGGGCTTTAGGGTTTGGGTTTAGCGTCTGGGGCTGAAGCTTTCAAAGTGGAGCCGACATTCGTGCGAGCCATAAAAAAACACCCGTCTATTCACACCAAATCCTGCCGTGCCCTCGCGTTTCCTGGAAATAAGCTGCTTTGTCTTGCAAGGTCTCTTTGTAGCAGCAAGTTGCAAATCCCCTCGGCACTGATGGATTGGGCTAAGTTCCGGCTGGTTGGGCTGAGCAACCCCCGCTACCCAGTATATTATCAATCCCCGTTTAAACGCTGGCCAATGCACCTCCAAGTAGGCGTATGCGCAATTGCCGCATAACTACAAGTTCTCAATGCCATTTTGGGCCTGTGTGCGCAACTGGCTCACTCCCCGATCTGTGTGAAGCAGCCCGAAGTGTTTCACCTAGCCCGGCTCGCAATGCAACTGGCACACACAGCAACTCGCAGAATCTTGCATGCTGGCAAACACTGCAGGTGATCTCCTGCACAGGTTCAAAGAACTGCAAAGCGCTTTGTATGCGCTGCTGCGTTCACCTTTTCCCTGTGACGTACACCTGGGGTCTGAGTTCGGAGCTCATGCTGAAGCTCAGCCCATCGCGCACTGGCCTCGCCGAGCTTTCACAATAGAGTCTCGAGTGAATCTGGAATCCGGAGACTTGCAACGCGCCAACGAGATGCCGATGAACACACCACCTGCGTCTGAGCAAAACGCGGGCACCACAGCAGAAGAATTTGCCCACCTGAACAGCACTGGTCCGCAGCCAACGCAGCCCTTCAGCCGCCAGCTGAGACCCGAACCCAGGTCCACCAGTTAACCTCTTCGAGGCTCTGGGCATTGATCTCTTCGATCTCTTGGCGCTCCTCACAGGGCTCGAGCTCAGGATAACCAGCCAAACAAGCCCAGAGGCCCTCAGCTTCCGTTGTTTCATCGTTTGAAGCGCATTCTTGATCATGCTGTCCGGATCCACCTGCCATGGAGCCCGTTAGTGTTCCGGTCAAAAAACGCCCAAACGTTGCGGCAACACTGCGGGGTCTTACGTTGCAGTTGCAGATGATTGTGGGGCCGGGCTCGATTTGGCGGTCTCCGAATGGTCTTGGAATGGTCCTGCGCGTGCTGGTTGGAGCGGTCCTGAAAGTGCGCGGTCTTGGAGTGGCACTTCACTGATCTTGGAAACTCGCTACGTCGGCCAGCGAAGTCCAGGAAAGTTTCCATGTGCCCTTTCGTTTCCAAGTGTGCTCGGTCCCAGGGTTTCCGAAAACCCACCTCGCAGCGGCAACAGGCTTCTGTTCCAAAAGCCCTCGGGTGTGGGTTTCTTGTTGCATTTTTGCTGCGCATTCGTTTATGGCCTAGGACAGATCACACGAATGTACTGCAACAAAAACACGGGTCGCACGTCTTTCAGACACGCCACCCGTGTTTTTTTGCTCGTCGGGCTTCGTGATAAAAGATGCTGCAGGCCACTCCTGCAACAAGCCATATGGACACCGTTTTTGGAGCCTTCTGTTGAGGCACACGCTGCACTTGAGAACGATCCAACATGGTGAGGAGATGCTTTTTGCTGACACGATGCAGATTCTAGTCAGCCATCACTTTGCTGGCGGTTGTGGTTTCGGTCGCATGGTTGGTTCCATGCGTTTTTGTGGTTGCAGGCAGGTTAAGGCCAGGGATAAGTGCAAAGCCAGATCTTGGCAGACCATCAACAATGCTTCCTTCACAACCTTAACTACTCGACGCTTCAATGCTTCTAGAGTATCGAAACACATAAATTTCAAACTGCTTCCTGTGAGTCACAAGCTTACAAGGCTGTCCTTGCGAAACCTCCGGCGCGTCATTTGCCACGTGAATAGTGTCCTGTCCAAGGGCACAAACTGTACATGCGTCAGCGTGCTTGAGCGCAGTGCATCTGCCTAGCAAACACGCCTCGTCAGCCTTCGTGCTCGAGGATGCTGCGGCAGGGCACTCCCGTAGCAGAAATTATCTAATGTGAACTGCAATCTAAATTGGGCGGCGAAGGCATACTGCCCAAGCCTCATCCGCCACTGCGCTGGAAGAATGCTCGAAGTGCTCCTGCAAAAACAGAAAATGTTCTTCCTTCGGGACATTCGTTGCTACCTTTCCCTTCACGGGAAGGCACCGTAAACATGTACCGCCAACAATGAACATTTTTGAAAACGGCATCGCTTCCAAGATGAGCTATCCTTCATTGACAGAAGAAGAACAACTAGGCTACATCCCGGAGGCTCCGAGGATTTTGTCTCCGAGGCTCCTATTGATGTCGCTTATCATGGGAGCCATCAAATTGCGAGGGGCCCTGTTCACGAAACCAAGACATAAACAAAAACTCCCACACCCCACCGGGCGTTTCCACGTCAGAAAGAGCTGAAGTTCGTTGAAGGTCTGATAACCACAGAGCGCAAGACGAGATTGTCTCCTTCTTGGCAGAGGCCTCGCTGGCCTTTCCGTCCTTTTGCACCTGAAATCCGGGCAGGTGTTCGAAAAACGGCTTGCCTACTGGCATCTACTACAAAGCAAGAAGACACTGCATACTAGCAAATGAGCTAGTGCCCACGACTGCCTCTTCCTCCGTCCGGACCTTCTGATTGCATGGACTCCTCTCATTGAGCGGAGGAGCCTGTTTGGCCTGAGAGTCGCACCAAGAGAAACGTTGCTTCCTACAAGCATCTAGCTACAAAACACGAAGGCCGTGCGTGACAACTAGCCCTTCCTCCACCCCGACCTTCTGACTCCTCTCATTGAGCGGAGGAGCCTCTTTGGCCTTCTCCAGAGTGATGGCGTTTGGTTCGCAGTACTTGGTGCATTCAAGAGCGCACAAACATAAAACTACTTCAGCGCTGACTTTGACTCTGCCGGCAACTCTTGAAAACTGTGACTCACATGATACGCGCTGCCCAGCAGCCCAAATAATGGCAGCGTTGCCAAATGGAAATACCGGTGGGCAGCATGGCAGTCATGGCATCTCCTGAGAATCTCCTGCTGACCACACTTTGGGGACATCATGGCGTCTGTCTTGGCGCCGCCGCGATGCGTATGGAGGAAGATGATCCTGCTTCCAGCGTTCAAAGGCCACATCCACAGGGTGTGACCTCAGCAGAGGGAAACAAACTCGAACACAAGCTGGACTGCCTCTCTCCCAGGTACCAACTCAGCATTCAAGCCCCCGGGTCCCAAGCCCTCACCCGGGCTGTTGCTTTTTGCGGTTTCTTCGACACCTCCGTATCAGTAGACTCGGTATAGTGGTGGCCCCTGGAAGGGCTGGAGCACCATGGTCTTTTTGGACGAGATTTGCAAGCTTCAGCAAAGCGTGCCTGGGCTAAAGGCATGACAGCAGCTGGTAGGTAGTGACGCCTGGCGTGGAAGTCTTGGGAGGATGTGACAAATCTCCTCGATTTCGAAGGCCTCTGACGCAAAAAGGTGTGCAAGCCATGGCAGCCACGTGTTTGCAGAGCACGACCGGGGTCACACGTCTTCCAGGACGGACTGCTTTTTCGCAAGCCCACTTGCCCAAACCCCACTTCCGCGGCGGGCTCCTTCCGCAGCCAAGGGCAGGAAACACGCTGTCCTGTTTTTGCCATAGTGCACGGGTCATTTCAGAGAAGACTTCAGGCGCCAGATGTCCCAGCCAGAACATCAGCGTGCCCCGCACTCAGGCCTGGGGGCAAACAAGTCAGGGCCTTTCGGTCGCTTCTTGGGCCCATCTTGGGGGTGCTGGGCAAACAAGTCCGGGCCTTTCTGTCACTGCTTGGGCCCAGCTTGGGGGGCGGGGTGGCCTATCTTGGGGGCAGCAGCCCCATCTTGGGGTGGGGCAAACAAGTCACGGACAGTCCGAGCGTGTTCAACTAGCATCCTAGAGTTCCCCCTCTTCCCCATGTTACAGTGGCCAACGTGCCAGGAGAAGTTTGCCACACGAGGCTCCGAGGCATGACGGTTTTTGCTTCTTTGTAAACCTTTGTAATTCCCAAATCCCCGAAAACCCATCCGCGCACGCCTTCTCGATGTTTTCCACAGTCCGCGCTTGTGTCTTTGATTGCCAAAGAAAAAAACCGGGGTCCGGGCAGGGCAGACCATCAACCAGAACTCTTCAATCCTCCCTGTCGTTGTAGGGATTCAACACTAAGCGTGTCTGTACAGACATCGCTCGCTCCCACGCAGCGGACCATGGAAGGTCAGACGCCACATGACTTTGGTAATTGGAGCAATTTTCCAAAGAGCTGGACGCTGCCCATTGTCTTAACACATTTGCCGGTTGCCTTAGATATTCCCGATTGCCAAGCCACGTATCATGGAGCATCACAAGCCACAGGAAACAACCAATGCGACTATCATAAATCATGCATCTCGGGGGTTCTCTGATTTTGCATGTGAGTGTGTTGGCAACTGCGAAGCACATACTTGTGCACGGCACACAATTCACACCAGACCTGCTCGAGTCACATACCTAGCAAGACCCACGAGTATCACCTTCTCGCGTGCATGCATTAGTCAAGTTTCAGTCAAGTTCCCACCCCTGCAAAAGTTCTAAAGATGTTGCACCGACTTCAATGAATTTAGGCCACCCCCCCCCCCCCCAAAAAAAAAAAAAAAACGGGACAATAAACAAAGTTGAATAGCAATAATGATAAGAGGAATCATTTGAATATTCAATTTACTCATCTAATGGCAGAGCAATTATTATATGCAAGAATAAGGAGGAGGGAGGGCGGGGAGTGGTGGGTGAGGGGTGGAGAGTGATTGAACATGCACCTCCATGGGACTCCCAGGCCAGGTGTAAGCACAGCATACAGCATACTGGCCACCCGTCGCAGCAAACACGGCGGCAAGTGAGAGCAAAGCGGGACCTCCCTAGCACACTCGGCGACAAGTCCGATGGAAGTGCACCACGCGCAAGCAAAGAGCGAAAAGGCAGCATCTGTCCGCGCGATGTGCCTGCGGACCTGGCACGTGCCGGCAAAGCGGTCTCTGTCTCAAGGCAAGGTCCTGCGGACTCTGTTTCTCTTTGGCCCTCCTCCTCTTTCTTTCGGTGATTTTTGTTTTCTTTTTTGGGGCTCGACTCTGGCGCTCTCTTTCTCTGTCTCTCTTTCGGAATTCGGAATGCCCTCCCAAGCGACTTCACATGAAGCACAGCCGGGATTTGATGGATGCCATGTCCATGCCCTTTCATGCCCTGCCAAGGCTCACTGCGGTACACGGTACACACTTAGGTCGAAATCTCCTAAGCATGGTATCGAAATCTCAGCAGCATGGTGGCAGTCACGTGGGGAGAGCACCGGACTTTTCGTCCACGTCAGCACAAAGAAGCCCATGTGCTAACCCGCTCAGATCTGGAATCGCCGCGAGCTGCGCTCCCAGGGCCTCGTGGGGATCTCCTAGAAGCTCCTTTTAGTTGGACTCTAACAGTTGAAGTTAAGACAGACCTAAAACTTCAACAACTTTCGGGGGCAAAGGCAACCACTCCTAAGGACGATCAGACCTCATGCCGCAAGAACACCTGTTGCGAAGAGGGGTCAGCGCTCAACGAGTTCAAATAGCAGGCCTCCAGCATCTCTTACTACGATGCACGCTGCGGACGGAAGAAACCGAAGAGTCGAAACCCCCAAGTACACATGAATCCATCCTTGCAAAAAACAAAGCCTGCCCCATAAACAATGGCGTGCTGAGCAGCTGGTCCCAAACACTGCCGAGATTGAAGTCCACAGCTTCGCAGCGCTTTGGCCGGAGGTCGGCTCCTGCCACGGCACAGCTTCTTGGAGGGGATGTGGGTTTGTAGATGTTTGTAGGGCGGCAGGGTGGCTTTAAGGGAGCTTCAGTGCTTCAGGTAAAGCATCGTGCGCTGCAAGTAAGCTTCGGCTTTTGAGGGCAATTGACCTCTCAGGGGGCCTTGCTTCACGCTTGCTCCACTGCGCATAGACACCTTCTGTGCATGCAAGAGCCGCGAACGCCCTTCTTGCAGTTGGTGCAGAACTTTATGGGCCCTGCAACCAAGCACCTCAAACTTGCTGCTCTGAACCTGGACAAAATCAGGGTCTTGAAGACTATCATGGCTACCTTCAAGATGCTGCCGGCCATTCTGCTAAATTCAACCCAGTATACGTACCAATGGTGGCGCCGCAGCTCTGCACAGCACCTGGCGTGCGCCCAGCGAGCAACCGGCGGGCCGCCGCCAGCAAGCGGTAAAAGCTGCGCAGGCCTGTCGGCTTTTCCCTGAGTCTCCCCCGAACACGGCCACGTCGCAACAGGCTTATCAGGTTTTTGCAGACGAATGTTGACAACAAATCTCATGCAGGAGGTGACACCAACCCCCTCCATGATTGAACAATCATGATCCTGGGCGGGCCTGCGAAAGGATCGCCCCCTTCAGGCTTCGGCCGCACAACCGCTGCCACATCCGACCACATGGCAGGGAGCACCTGTCCGGAAGAACTGGACTATCGCTTGCAGGGTTCTTGAACTGTCTTGTGTTCCAGGGAGCATAGTTATTGTTATACACCATACGACCATACAGGACCGTACAGATGCTAAAGTGACTTAATGGAAACTAGTTCGACAGAAGTCCGAACTGGCAGTGTCACAAGTGCTTTTGGCGGGCTGGCGCGCCCTCCCGCAATCTGCGAATCCACGCAGAGAAAAGCAGCTTGCAAGAAATTCTGCTACCATGTGAACCTGTCTCGGCTGCAACCTGGGCCGTCTGCATCGCAAAGAACCCAAACCCGCGTATTAAAAGCATCGCATGTCTCAGGTCACTCGGCTGCACAAAACGCAGCTCTCTCACCGAGTGCCAAGTGTATGCCAACTGTACTTCTACACAATTGAAACCGCCATGTCGGGCTTCGATCCTTTGATTTGCAGACTTTCTTTGTCTACGGCAGCGTGGCTTTCTTCGTCCACTTTCCCTCAAACTGACCCTCGGGGAAGCGTATGGCGTTGTTCTCCCAGGTGGCCTGCAGCACAAGTTCGCAAAGGCAGCCTTCTCAAGGTCGAACTCACCGAAAGCCCGTTCAGTCGCATAGGATTACTCCAAGAGCACAACTCCTCTAACGCCTCTAACGCCTTTAACTAAATCAACTGCAGGCGGAACACGATGAGGCGCTCGGGACCTCCACGCGAACGAAAGTCCAGGATCAGTTCCTCGTTTCGCCGGGAAGCTCTTGACAATTCATCATTTTGCTTGGATTTAGGAGAGGGAGGGGGGGGGCGCGGGGTGTTTCAATTTTTCGAGCCTGAGGCTCTCGAAGTCCCGGCACTGAGAAGGTCGACCCCGTTACCGTTGCTTATGTTGTCCAACAGTACACACACACACACACCCACACGCGCACGCACACGCGCACGCGCACGCGCACGCGCACGCGCACGCGCACGCGCACGCGCACGCGCACGCGCACGCGCACGCACACGCACACGCACACGCGCACGCACGCACACACACAACGAGGCCAGTGTGCATTGGAAGCGTTGCCCTTTCAGCATTTTCAGCATGAACAACACGCGGCCTCAGATCACCTGTATATGTCCTTCAGAGTCCCTTATACCAGCCGCCCTGCGGTAGTGGAAGATAGTGGAAGGCGTGCAGTGTGCAGGCCCAGGTGCATTGTAAGCCGCAAGGCTCAGCTTGCCGCTCACACTCCAGGGCCGCTCCTCAGGGATCTCTGAGAATCTCTCACAGCATTTCCCTGCGCTCGTGCGTGCGTGCGTGGGTGGGTGGGTGGGTGGGTGGGTAGGTGGGGTGTGTGTGTGTGTGTGTGAGAGAACATATGTGTGCGCACAGACTATGATGGGTGTCACTGGTCCGGTCTTATTCGACTTCTTTGTCTCCGGGCTCTTCGAACAAAGTGGATGGTCGACCAAAGCAGCCCTGGCTTGATAAATCGGCTCCTTCTCGCCGTTTCCGCAGCCTGGTTTCCCTTCTGCAGCGTCGATGGTGACCTCTGCAAGTAAGCTCAAGCCTCCTTGCGAAAGGGGCGATATACGTTGTTGGTTGCAGTAGGGCTTCGAGGCAATGCATTAATTGATGTGGCCGCTCAAAATTGCACAGCGTAACACGCCAGGAACATGTTTTCTGTACGCACTCGGTGCTGCATTGCAAGAAATCGAGGTCTGCAAGTCCGTTTTCCTGTCGTGAAGCACTTCCGTGAGGCTCGTTACATAGCGAGTGGACTTTGTGTGAGTGCGGGTTCAGGCTTTGGAGCTTCATGTGGCTGAGACTCGCGCCTTCATGCCCTGCACGCGTACCTCCCGCTTGCATCCCGGGTGGTCGGGATCCTCGTAGGAGCCTCAGTGCTTGTTTCGGGTTGTTTCGGGAGCAGCGAAGTGCACCTGTAGGATGTTTTGGGCCCTTTTCTGAGTGCTTCGGAGAGGGGAAAGCCTGCTAAAAACCGCAGAAGGCCCTAAGCTTTCTACGAACCTGCTGCTTTTTGGAAGCCAACTCAGGGGTGGCCCTCCTGAATCCACTTAGTCATTGAGCATCCGATTCGGGCTGCAGCCTTGAAGCCTTCGAATATAATCATATAAGAGAATGAAAAGACAATGATATTCAAACTGTATGATGTATAATAGAATAAAAAAACATGACAATATTAAAGCTTTTCGGTCCAGGTTTTCTTTGTTGCATTCGCAGCTTGCCGGGTCCTTGCACTATTCCGCGGGACATTTAACCGGAAGCATCTGGGTTCAAGCCTCCCCCCTCCCCCCTGAAAACTTGCACGCTGGGATGTTTACTCTTCACAAGCCCTACCACTACACTCCTTGGCCCCGGGCCCTGCCAGTCGGGCACCTGTGCGAAGCTGGCTGCGGGCCTGTCCAGACAGCTGCGGAGGACAAATAGCCTAGCAGGCCTAAATTGCCACGCCACCGCAGCGAGGGCGCCAGGGCGGCTGCCAGAGCAAATCGTCGACCCAAGCGCCCCGGAGTCGCGAGGAAGGCCAGGGCCCTCCGAAAAAGCGACCCCGAGAGGTTCCGGGAGCCCCCCCACACTTTGGCCTTCGGAGTCTTTTAGAGAGGCTTTGAAGTGGGTACCTTTTCTGTTTTGGAGCAAGACGGGCTCGGGCTTCAGAAATCTTCAAGACTCGCGGCTTCCAAGGCTGGGGTCGCTAGGAGCTTCCAAGAAATCCCTTTGTAGTGTCGAGATCTGACACGGTCAGAGAAACCAATCCAAACTCCAAACTCCCTCGCAAAAGGGGGCAAACAGGACTGCGTTGGGTTGTGATGGAGGCAATCAACTGAACAGTGCGGTCTGCAACAAATTGTCATTGGCAGCCTGACTCCTCCCTTCCGACTGTTGAACCTCCCTCCAAGGATACACATCAGAAATGGTCGAACAAAGTTTAAGATAGCGGGTCGCGTCGCGTTTGGGGTAGATGGAGGACTGAAAGCACCAAGTCAGTAATAGCCTTAAGCCTGAACCCCTACCGGGAGGAAGTGTTTGGGGTTTGAGGTCGAAGACTGAACCCTAAACCCCAAAAACTCACAAGCCTTATCCATACCGTAAAACATTACAGGCGTCTTTTGAAGGCCCCTGGTCCCGCAAGGGCAATAACATGTTATATTCGGCCGAGGGCGGAGTTCACTGTGAGTGTGCATTTGGGTAATGTATTATATGTCGCATTTCGTACCTCGCATTTTCTTGTTTTGAAACTTGCGCTCGTTTCATCTCATTTCGAAGCTTGTAGTGTTTACCTCACAAATTATGTCGTGCCTCGTGTTCTGAATTGACTCTGGGTCGTTTGCATTTACAACCCCAGAATTCTGTGAGCCTGTGCCCAGCCAGGTCCAACTATAAACTAACGCAGTGGCGGCCCGACAGGAGTAGCAGTCGAGAGAACCGTACCCATAACGCGAAGAAATCAAACGTCCGGGCTTTCCACTTGTAGCTAGAGATCCCGGAACAAAAGATCCGTTTTTTCTTCGGGCTGGAGGAGAATGCGATCGGAGCTTAACGTCTCCAGTCCAAGGGAGGCGCCCGACTGCAATGCAAGTCTGAAAACAATGACCTTGTGATTGCTCGGGGCCTGGCATTTGGAAAATTAAACTACATCTCCGTGTTGAAGCTCGGGCTGAAACCGCGAGCACACCCTGCCTGCACCACGCCATCACCAGAGCGAACACAGCCTAGGCACAGGCGAATGTTGCTTGCCACGCATGCACCGTTTCTTGCGATGGCAACAGCTGTCCCAACCGCTCTGAGGCGAGGACGACTAACAGAAGGACACGAGTACGATCGCGCACCGGCTGGCTTCTCATGATTGATTGCAGTGGCGGGGGGAAGCAGTGGTCTAATCACGGCAAACCACCAGCTAACTGCAATATGCTGAAACGGAACCTCCGTTTCGTCTGAGAACACCAGTATAGTCATCAACTTTTGTCGGGTTCACTCACGCTGCATGAGAAGTGTTTATCATGTCTGTGTCGGACCGTCGTGCCATGTCTTTCCTTCATGTGCCTTCGGTCCAGAGAGGGGCTTTGTCGGACAATCGACTGCTCGGGGTCACGGTCAGACGTTGCAAGCCCCACAGCACAGCCCATCCTGCATGCAAGTGGTAAGGCTGGTGATCGCAATGGCTAGAGGCTTGATGGAGAGCTGTCACAAAAGTTTTTGGGGGAAGACATTTTATCGCTGCATTGCAAAATGGGGTGGTGTGGAGGCGCACCTCGATACAAATGGGAAAGATGCTGCACCTTGCTTCATACTTAGTATGTCGCGTGCTCGTGTTGGATATGTTGGCGGCCCTGTTGAGGGTGGGCAAGGCTCGGCGAGGAGGAGGAGGCTTCTCGAAAAGGGAAGCGCCGTGCGACAAACCCTATATCACAAAACGCCTGTTTCACACTGGGTGCAGCCATATCACTATCTTGGTAGGGATGCTGGGATGCCCTACCAAACGTCAAACCCCTGTCGCCAAAAACAATACTTCTCACCCCTCTCACTACAGGGCCTGCATCACGGCCAGGCGGCAGGCGAGGTGCTCCTGATGGTTCTTGCAAACATAAAAACATGAAAGATCAGACTTTCGACCGTGAAATCACAAAGCTACAACAAGCTATTGCAAGCTCAACATGTTCTAGGGCACCCTAAACTCTTGCATAGTCCTTGCATGACATGGGCTGTGATCTTAAGGCCTTATGGTCGCCTCTACAAGCACTTTGGAGAGGAGGCCGACGACAGACGTAGCCTCGCCGCTCCAGCCTGGCCAGCAGGATGTTCTAGCAAGATGCCCTGGCGGGGGAAGGGAGGGGGCCGCGTATGCTATGCAGCTCCACAGGGTCCACCGCGAGTCTGCATTGCGGAAGCTTATGTTTGGTTCACTGCTCAGCACCGGCCAATCCAGAAAATTGTTCGAAGCAGCAGCAGAGAGCACAAACTTGCCAGGGTGATGTAGCACAACGCTGTTGCCTGGTCCTTCCATCTCTGCCGGCCACTGCTTCTTGTGAGGGAGCATTTCTGAGATCAGGTTGGGTTGGATGAACAGCCTTGTCAGGCACGCCAAGGTCAAACGCTCCTCACATAAAGACGAGACGAGCTCGACGCGCTCGGCGCGCTCGACGCGCTCGTGAAAACCTTTCTAGAAAAATGCTGCATAGCATGGCTTGTCATCGCAACCTCTGCGAGTAATCATGATTGGAATGCATCTCGTGTGCAGTATGAACTCGGTTGGACATCGTATCTCATACGGAGATCAATGCCATCATTCGAAAGCTTTGTTCCACGTGGACCTACCACTTGGCATACAGCACACGAGGCATGTGCGCTTCGGACGTTGCCGCCGCACGTGAGCTTGACGTTGTCAGCTTGTGATACTATTGGCCTATAGCACTAGCACCGCAGTGGCAGACTTCCTGTGCCTAAAGACGGACGGCAACATGGACTTCGGTACAGACGCTTCGATCCAAAGCCAAGGCTACTAAACTATATAACCCTTTAGAGAACTTGAAGTAACTTGCGACTGCGAGCACGAAACCTGCGACTGTACAAACCTCCCAGGCACCCCCCTCGCTTCAGAAGCCGCGGCTCTTCGGCGGAAGCAGCAGCTGCGTGAGGGTGTTTTGGTCCGTCGTACTCAGGGCCTCAGGGACACAGGGGCTCTCAAAGAGCACTCAGAGGGTGCGAAATGGTGCGAATGACCACTCTGGGAGTCAATTGTGCTCTCAGGCCGCAGCATACAAGATGCCGAAGAACAGGATGGTGATCACCTCGTGCCAAAAAAGACACTTAAGCCGCCCGCGGGGTCCCGAAAACCCTTGTTAGAGCACTCAGATTCTCGCATGGGCGCTTCAAACATCTCAAACGGCCACTTGGGCAAGATTTGGGCAAATTCAAGTGCCACGCTGGCCTGCCTTCAGGACCATCAGGGTATCTCGCGCATGGCCCTTATATGTTGGAAACTCCCTTCGTGGAAGAGAAGCTCAGGCAGCTGCTCCCTGGATGAGTCGAGCACTGCCCATGTACATCAGACCACCCGCGTCATTGATCTCACTCTTGACTCGCCTCGGCCCGAAGCAAATTTATATTAGGCCTATTCAGACTTGGGAGGAAAGCCATGTACTCTCACAGAGCATGCTTCAACTGTGCTGCCCGATGGCTCTTGATAGCGCTTGGTCATCTGAACGCGGATCTCCATCACCTCATCCGGGAAGATCTCGTCACCCATGATTGCCTCGTCTGACTTGCAATTAAGAGAACTACAAGCCGACTTCCTTACCTCCGCCGCTACGAACTCTGGCAATTCATCCAGAACAGTGGATGCAGCTACGGGGCATTGTAGGCGTTCACCAGCTTCTGAAATCCTAAGCCGCACCATGCAATGACGGGCATGCAGGGCTTGCAGAGTAAAGCTGTTGCGGTTGGACGCTCTCAGGACCGCAAGAGAAATTCCGGGTTCGACATCATGCGACCAAGCTTCGTTTCTCCTGCTCTTTGTCCTCGGGGTTGACGTCGGGGTGCTCCTGATTTCTGCGCCCGGTGAAACGTCTCATCTTGCAATTAGACGCTGACAAAGTCTGCAGAACTGCAGCTGTGCAGCTGAGCACCACGCTCGAGCGTTAGACTCGACAAGAGGAGCCTACACCTCAAACCAGACAAAAGAAAAGTGACACATGACATGCAGCCCAGGCTCAGACAGCGCAATCCGCCGGAAGGCTTTGCGTGCATCCTGAGGGACGCAGGTCGTGCACGCAGAGCATTATGAAAAGCTTGAGGGCGTGGAGGGGTTTTTCGGCTGAGTTGTGATGCAGTGAACACATATGAACACCTTAGTGCCTTTGTGCAAGTTTTGGACTCGTATGGTGTGGCGGGCGCCTGCCACTTTCAATGTGCGGTGGGGAACGAAATGGTGATGATCTGTCCTGGATCTCTCGAAAGCCGTCTTCCAGCCTACTTATGAGGAGGACCCGGGTAAGCAATACCATTCTGATGGAGACGTGGCTCGCGAGCACAGCAGGCTAGCATAGGCTCGGAGTACACGCTACAAGCCCCACACCAACCTACAAGAAACCAAGCCTGCATCGCAGGACACCGGCATCGCATGGGGGCACATTTCTAGTTGAACCAGTCCTTTTGGCTTGAGGGGGACCTTGAGCTGAGCTGAATGCTGATCCGAAACAATGGCCCTAGAACCCGAAAGCAGGCGGAGGCTCGCCCTGGCTGGTTCCTCTTGGCAGACCCAAAACCTGGTTGGGGCGGCTTCGGACGGTTTGCGAGCTTTGCATATTGGCCAGCAAGCATGCGTGTTTCTTCTGCTGCAGCTGTGCTAGTTCTAGCTTTTACCGAACTGTTCGGGTCTGGAAGCTACACCGACCGCTTCGGTTTAGATGGGCCTTCCTGCAGGTAGAAGCCCCGCAGCCCCCTCACAACACGTCCTGGGTTCAACTGACCACAAGGAGTTCTGTCACGGTACTGTCTGCATATAGGCTTTTTGTTGTTTCGCGCATTCTTGTTCTTCACTTTGGGCTTTTGGGGCTTTCAGGGGGTGACTTGTAGGGTTTGGGGCCTAGTTTGATTTGGTCTACCAGCGTGCCTTTTTTGTTCCCCAACTGCTGCTAAACTTGTTCCTCATACTTTCTCCCGGAGCTGCCAGCTCAGCTGATGATGCGTTCTCATCAAAAGTCAATACCTAGAAAATCTGGACGTCTGCAATCTAGGAGCATCGTAAGGGTTCTCCGTCTTCTGCTTTGGGGCCGCCCGGCATTCAGTGCGCGGAAGTTGCTGGCTCTGGAGCCTCCGCAGAATTCGAGGTTAAGCCGCATCTCGGATAAGACTATGCGGTACGAAACAAATGCTAGAAGGAGGGATTGCCCGTGCCTGATGTGCTCCCAGTCTCAGCACGTAGCTGACGTAGCTACAATATGTGACCGCCCTCCAAGCCCAGCAATGGAACCCCTGCCTTGGGTTGACAAAGCAGCGCAATGCCGCCAAGGACCCAAGCAGCCTCATGCGCATCGATCACAGGGGGCCGCTTCTTCGTTCAATGGCTTTCGCAGGATGCAGGGCGCCGCAGGGTTTCACTTGCTTGACACGGGTGATGATGCGACATCAGGGCTACCCCAGATTTCCCACGAACTGTCCATGATTCTTCCTACAGTAGTCTCAAGAGCGTGGCTTGAGACTACCGCAACGTACATTTTCAACATCTGCACTCCCTCACAGAGCACTCCCTCACAGAGAAGCGTTTGAGCCTGGAGGTTGGGATTGATAGTGTACATGCAGCAACACATCAATTAAAGTGTTGCTAGCCAGGTGGCAACAGCAGACCTGGCAAACACCGCGTCCGCAGCAAAGCCATGGCAGGAATGTTGAACACGAAATGAGCCCGTTCACTTGGAAGTACACATCCTGCTTAGGACTTGCCGGGACAGTCCTTGCCAGTGCACTCTGCAGCTCTGATCATAAGAGGTAGCGTCCTTTCACTTTTCGCTGGCACACGTCTTGTTTGTACGGGATGACCTGGTTACATGTCTGGTTCACCTTGAGGCAATGTCTTCATGACGCGACCTGCTTCGATGACAAGATGCGTTCGACGCAGCGCCATTAAAAAACTCTATATGTGCTGGTCTCAAGACTCAAGACCCCCGCGAGGTCGTCTACAAACTTGGACAAGCACACTTGCAAACATTACCCTTGGCCTGGCATCAGGGACCGCTGTCGTGCAAGGCGGCGTTGCACGCCTGCTCAGTGTGCAGGATGAGAGCTTACTAGTACGGTCTCGCTGGCATTCGGTGAATGACCTTGACTGGCCACAAACCTCGGAAAACAGAACCAACATGAGGTTCCATGTGTCGCCAGCTTGCCCTGTTTACCAGCCGTGCATCTGTCAATCCTTCCATGGGCTTTTCTTTCCACAGGCCTTGAAGATCGAGGCGCCAGCGATGTTTGGATCGAAAGTGCTGGTGCAGAAGTGACTCCTTGCGGGAACAACTATTCTTCTTCTTATTATTATAATTCTTCTTCTTCTATCTATTTCTTTCTTTCTTCCTTCCTTCCTGCGCACGTATCCCCTCATTTGCGGGTCTTGCGCTCTTTGTTTTTTCTTGCTTGCTTGCTTGGTTCTTTCTCTTTTATGTTTTTTTTGTCTGCCTCTCCCTCTCTCCCTTTCTTTCTGTCTGTTTTCCTTTCTTTGGGGCATGGAGCGGAGTCTGTCTTGTCTCTCTTCTTCTTCTGAACAGCGAAGAACCCCCCCCCCCCTGTCTGTCTCTCTCTCTCTCGCTCCCTCTCTGTCTTCCTTCCTGTTCACGACATGACCCCCTAGCTCTTTCTATTCCATCCTTCATCCTTCATTGCAGCGTAAGCCCCTACAGGGTTGCCCCGAGCGGGGCGCTCCACTTGGCTAGTCGGTGTGACACTTGTGCTTTGCGGTGGGCCTCCCAGAACCGAATAACCCCGACAGATGTAGGATACGGGTACACGCCTCCCACCCAGTCATCCACTCGAAGAATTGCCTCAGCACCTTGTGGTGTGCATTTACCAGCCTTGCTCCCGAAAATAAGAGATCTGGATAGTGAAGCGGCCGTTCATTGTCTACTGCCGTCTCCTTACGCACTCTTCGGGTATTGCCCATCGTGCTCCACCACGTGCTGCGGGGATTTCGGCTCCCTTGGCTTCCTATGCTCTCTTGTTCCAAACAGATGTGGGGAGGATGAACAGTGTAGTGGTGCAAGCGATAGAGAGGGGGACTGCCTCTGCCTCGGCCTCTGCCTCCGCCTGCCGTGCTGCTGCTGCCGCTGCTGCATCCCGACAATCGCAAACACAGGCAGTGCAAACGACCTCTATCATGAAGAAAAAATGGGGACAACAGTTGATTCCCAGGTTCGAAGGACCTGTGTGGTGATTGCTACCTCGAGCCCTAGCGAGCGCTGTCGAGCTGCCTGGCAGTGATGCAGACAGACAGACAGACAGACAGACAGACAGACCGACAGGTAAACAACAAGAACGAGAAAAATGAGAAAACACAATTTCATGCCGATGCGAGCGAGTCTGCACTGGTGGCTGTATTATAAGTGCCAGGGCTCCACCCAGCGACGATAAGGAGCATCGGCCCAGCCAATAAAGCTCATCGCCAGGGAGCCTTGCTGGTGCAAAAGGGGACATCTTACGTCTCACATTCTCACATGCTCCACGAGGTTCGCAGGTTACTGTAGGGGGCAGTCCAAGCAAGGCAAGAGCCGCGTGTGGGAACTGATTGGCAGGCGAGATGCCAAGTGTGCCCTGCCGAGTAGACCGGGTGAGGACCTCGACCTCTGCTAACCAGTTGCACAGAATCAGCGAAGCTTCGCTGGGCTCTGGCTGAAGAGTCTTATCTATCATGGCTCAAGTGCATGTCATGTTCGGCCTCCGCAGGCCCCCCCCCCCCCCCCCCCCCCCCCCCCCCCCCCCCCCCCCCCCCCCCCCCCCCCCCCCACCCCCCCCCCCCCCCCCCCCCCCCCCCCCCCCCCCCCCCCCCCCCCCAAAAAAAAAAAACAAAAAAAATTGCAGCTTCATCAGCTGCCCCAACCCACATGGGCCTATTCGCCCATGGCAAGACTGAACAACGCAATGCAACGCACAATGAAGCCGATGGTGCCTCACTCACCCAAGGCCCCGACCCAGCCAGCCTCCGGGTCCCCCAAACCGGGAGATTTCACTGCGAGGGTCGGGTGGATCTCCATGAGGTAGGCCTCGAAGAATCTCGAAGGATGGAGGAAATGAAAGGATTTTAAAGACTTAAGTCCACGGTTCGAAGAGGTAGCAAACACAGCACAACTCATTCTGGAAGCTGTGAGTTGTCATCCCATGACCGCCGAGAACTCAAGTTTCTTCAGGTGAATCCTCCAAGTGGGACGAAGTGGCCCGGCCGCGCCGGTCCACGACTAAATCGGCAAAGAAGTGGAAGCCTCCGCTAAGGTGCGTTCGCTCTGTTTCAAATAAATAAATAAATATATATATATATATATATATATATAAGCTGTCTACGCTCGCCCCGGGTCAGGTCGCTGTATGAAGCCCGACTTCGCAAGCGCCGCCCTAAGGCCCTAAGGCTCACTGGTTTAAGTGACCCCGCGTGTGCTCGACTACATAGTAAGAGCTGTGCATTTGGCCACGCATTATGCCGTATGTTCTGGGTCCCATACCCGAGTTTTCAACTAATCAGGTTTTGGGGCTTCCAGAGTGCTTCCAGACGCTACTTCTTTAGATTGCATGTTTGGAGATGTTATCGAGTTCGAGGAGTAGGGAGCAGGTTTTCTGGGTTTGGCTTGCGCGCGTAATGGTTACAACACAACGATGGGGCACTTCAAGACCGTGTTGAAAGCAAAAGCCGATGCCGATCACCCGAAGACGTGAAAGACCAAAAGCCATCAACTAAACCAAGAAGCCCACCGAGCCGCAGGCGTGCCGGATCGCCTGGATATGGCCAACTGCCAGTGTCTACAATGGAATGAGGTGCACGTGCGGGCACTGGCTAGTTTTTGTCAACCAGCGCTCTCCCATCTGTAGATCACTAGAGCCGTCTGACTCATTGATTCAAGAATCCAAGCCTTCTCCTATGTTAGTACAGAAAAGCAAAGAACTTGAAGCATCCGGCCAAGGTTCATTTGAGGCACAGTCCAGCTTATCTCTTGTGCCAAGCCTCGGATTGAACAAATGAGGCTTCCACAGTTTCGACAGTTACTCTCTCCGAAGCAATCTCCTGACAAGGAGCAAGAAAATGGAGAGGGCAAGCTTGATGTTTTTCCAGACCACCTCCGAAAGCAAAGCCGACCCGGTTCCCTTGCGATCCCGGATGCGTGCAGAAACAACTGCAAGACCGAGCCCAACTTTCAGTCATCGGCAAGGCTGCGGGCCTTTGGGTCTAGACCATTCTGCTCCTCCGCGATCTTGAACCACTTGTGAAGAGAGCCTGGCCAAGCTATAGTGCCTCAACCTCGTTCACATCAGAGGATCTTCGGGCGCATCGGAAACGGGCACACGAGTTTCACGCAGACCTGACGCTGATTGAAGAAAGCCTCGTAACGTCTTACCAAACGACTGGATTTTTGTCCTGCTTTGCATGAGCAGTAGCACGACGATCATTCAACACAAAAACCTGCGTGCAACTGTGGTGAGTGACGCCACTGCAGGAAGTTGCACTGCGCATCTTTATGCCTCCGCAACCCGCAAAACAAAGTGAACCTGAAGTTTTATAAACATCCCGACCTCCCGAGCCAGCGTCGTGCTCAGCACCTCGCGGATGATCCCAGCTTGGCGCTGTGGGGCACTGGTAGGTGCCAGCCTGTCCGACTGTGGTCAGCTGGGCCAGTGAGATGCATGGGCTTGGGAGCATATCTGAAGATGATATGTTTGACGCATGTGGTTTCTACTGTGACGGGCTAGTGACTACGCGCGAAAGCGCCTGAAAGCAGCACTTTACCAACAGTAATTAGTCCAACAGTCTTCACTAGTGGGCACTCATGAACTGGTGCTACGGGGAATCCAGTCTCTGGAGCCTGCCCAGAGGTAGATATTGTGTGTGCAGCTCTTCTACCGGCATGGCTTTCTGAAATCCAACATCCAACACAGCTTCAATCCGTACCTGCTCCGTACCAGCAGCATTTGGAATCATGGAAAGCTCCATACTCTGCTGTAACTGGGCAACCCTTCGCTCCAGCCATTCCAGCCTCAATCTTCGGAATGTGGTGGGTCACGTGCATTAACGCGTCCTGCCACGCCGTGCGGGGTTCGGCTTGGGGCTGAATCCGTTTAACACCCCGGCTCGGACAGGTCCAGAAGTCAGATGAAGGCACTTAATCTGGCCAGGTTTTATGGCGGGCTGTGCACAGTTGCTTGAACAGCAATAGGGCCCAGATGCGCCGGCAGAGGATTCCTGAAAATCTTCGTTGTTCGAGGCCGAATAATTCTTCTCCAGAAATCCGGAGCGAAAGTATCCTCAGGATTGCTGCAGCATGGTTGATGCAGTTCCCGGCCTACAAGAACCAGCTCCGTGCATCCTGAACAAAACAAAAGGCTCCAACACAGATGCGACTTTGGTAGTGCCCTAGAAGAAAAGAGATGGCATCAGTTCATGTAAGCCCTGTAGGACCGTAAGAGCGTATGTCAGGTCTCCGTACTCGCTGATGTAGAAGCCTGAGCTGCAAAAAGGGAATGGCCACCACGAATCATTCCTGGACGCTAAACCAACAGCCAATTATCAGAAACAGTTGCAGGACGGGTCACGGAAGGGGTCCATGGATACCACAGTCCCATAAATGCGGATGTCCGTCTTCACCGTGATGGGCGGCCAAATGCCCTCCAACCTGGAAGGCTCTGTGCTGCTAGAGCTCGGGCACGCCTAGGACTTGTGAAGACCCTTCTTGTCGCATCCGAGCTACTGGTAAAGCACAGGATCCAGTATGTACTGCTGAACCACTGCTCTCCTCGGTGGATCCAGGCATGCCCCTATGAAAAAGAGCACAGGCGCAAGGATGCCTCGAATGAGGACATGAGGACTCAAGACTCAAGACAAAGCCTTGATTTTTCGTTCCCGGATTCTGCTTTGCAGAAGCGCTGGGTGCAGCCGCCGTGGAGCCGCGGGGCCTCTTGCCGCCCTGCCAACCCCCCAGATACATCGGGTTGGAATCCGTGCAGAAGCGCGGGATACCGACCTCAAACGAGGCACAGCATCACTGTTCCACCTAACTCAGTCCTTCCTGGCATGACGGCGGCTGCACGCAAATGGCAAGCTTGTAACATGTTCTGTTTCCCCAAAATTTCCCAAATCGGAACTCGCTTCACGAGCTGCACCAGAGTACGGCCCACGGTTTCAGCAGAAGCAGCCCAACAGCCCTCGTCATCGCGCCAGTTCCAAGCTTCGCAGGCGTCCCGCAAGCTGCAGCAGGCCTCGCCTCGTCATGTGTCACATCTCGACGCTCCCCATACTAAACTTGACTAAACCTATACTAAACGCGCACAAAAGCACGAAACAAACCGAAAACCCAGCCGGGCGGCTACAAGCAGCCGCAGAAGCTGAGGATCCCTACAGGGCGCAGTGATGCACAGTGATTGGCTCAAATTTGTTCAGGGAGGATTGTGTGGAAGCCTCCAGGCGGCGTGAAGTGCACGCGCGATTTGAGTGAAGCCGTCTCAGACGCGCACGACAGGCACCACGACGCACGCTCGATCCTGCGGAACCACCGACGTCTGAGAAAACGGTCGGCATGTGACATTTGGGTCGACATGACCCGAAACGGTTGATTTCATGACGCAATGCAGGCCTATCCCCAAGTACCGCAAGTCCGAGTGTCTTCCAAGACCTTGCGCGCGCCACAACCTCCGATGGGCGTACAGCGTGCTGTGCTACCGCTACGCCAAAGGCTTGAAGCCTGCGAAGCAGAACGGACGTGACAGCACGCGAAACAACCAGCATTCACATGGGTTCTTCAGTCACGCTGTGTTGTAGGTGCGGGGGCAGAACGAAGCAGCTGAGGCATATCTGCCTCACTGAGTGTTGATCAGGCGTGTTGAACGTGGCCTGCGCGAGGCGCGCGCGAGGTGTTGCGCGGTCCGCGCGAGGCTCCCGACCGACCCAAACCCGAAGGCATTATCCCTCATGTCATGATCAAATATTTCGGATCGGCTCCTGAATCACCTAAACCTTAGCCTCGGCCGGCACCATCAGAACCGCCTCACTAAAGCAGAGCTTCACGAGGTCACGCTACGACGGTCAACGCATATGTCCAAACAAATTCGCCGCTGTGTGTGTATTCCAAGGTCACGCACCCCGGCACGACTTTACACAAGGCGGCTCGATGCAACCAACCACCCAGCACCGTGGCCCTACAGCATAAGTCGTATACGGTGTACACAGCCTGCTATTGCACTAGCTGCTGACGACTGCCTCCGGACCAGCGTCGAGTCCCAGGCATTGTGCATCCTGCCACTATAGCGCCAGATTTCAGTCAGTTCTGAGGCCACAGGCACGAACTTCTGCTCGTTTTTTTGTGTGCGCAGTCCTCCAGCGGCAGGAATTCGCAAGCAGCAGCAGCCTGTGGCAAGCTGGGAGAAGCTGGGCATCAACCGTTGCGTCCTACGGCCCCTAGGGCCAAATGGTGCGCTAGATGTGCCGCGAGCCTCCGCATCATCAGCACCAAGGAGATGATGCACGCCAAAGCGGATCTCAATCCCTCGGCCGCCCCATGCACCTCCGGCAACACGCTGGTCTATCGGCGTCCAGAATGCTCCTAAACGAGCTACAAGCTTCATAAACACTGCCTTGCGGATCACAACCAACGTCACCCAACTTACTAACAATCAAACCGGTCAGCCCAACAGAACGAACCCGAGCAAACCGTTGGACTGCTTGATTCCCATCCTGCCTTCAGGCTTGCGAACAAAAGCCATCGATCCGCCCTGCAGTGACGTGGAACTGGTGGTGTCCGTTTCGTATGGCAGGACAATACTTGCACTGCCTAACAACAGAAGTACATCGGCGAAGACACGAGTCGAAATAATCCCCTGCAGAGGGCCTCCTTCGGGCTCTCCGATGCAAAGGCAAGCAGCTCTTCTGCAGCACCAGGCATGTCGAAGCACTTCGGCATGCCGCCCACCTTTCGAATGTGTGGTATCGGCAGTCTCAATCCTCAAGGCTCTGGAACCTCTGCGTCGCATTGGTGTCGCAACGCTTATATAGGTGTATGTGTGCGTGTGTCAGTCTAGCAAATACTGTACGTAAGTAGTAATTACTTGTTACTTGCATATTGGTGCCACAAAATACCAGCCGCTGATGCACAAGGTCACGTGAAGTCCTGGGTAGTCAGTTGTTACATCACAAGCTGTTGGACTTGCCCCTGCGCTTTGTGAGGAAATGCGACTGTGCAACAGTTTAAGGCATGCCCGAAACGATCCAAAATCATCAGGGGTTGCTGGCCTCTCCCCGTGACATATGGCAACTTTTGTTGATATCTAAGACCACTTGTCTGGTCAATTCACTTCACATCACCGCCCTCTTGTTGGCTCAATGCAACCTGATGCAAGTAGTTAGAATAGGCCGAAGTCACGACGATGCGCGCAACCCTGGTTTCTGAAGTATGGGCTTCAAGACTTTCAGGGTTCCAGGCAAGATCAACAATCGTACCTCGCGGCCGAGGCTATCGCTCACTTGCCACGAGCCAAGCCTCAGGGCACCGTCACACCCTTTTGTCAGAAGCATACTCAGAAGCATGGGTCACTCTGTGTGCATTCCGCGTAGCTAGTGGACAAATGCTGAGGCCAAGTTCAACCCGGGCTATGAGTGCAGCTGCGTAGCGCGTCGTAGTACCTTAACTGCGACACTTTGCCTCACCACAGAGAATCACGGCACCATTTGAGAGCTAGTGACAGCTAGTGCAAGGTGGTGGCAAGCTCTATGGTTATAACCTCTCTCTGCTCTCACCTTCTGGCTTTCAAGTCAAGGAGCGCCCGGCATTGTTGGTCCTCTGTGGCGATAAAAGCTAAGCATTCCCACAGCTGCAACACTACTCACTACTCCAACGGATGCACCGTAGCCAGGTCCCCCCCCCCCTCGGAATGGAACGCCGGAACGGAACGGAACGGAACTTGATTATCTTTGTCTTGCTGGCTGTCGGGTTGCACGGCTGGGTTAATATTCGGGAAGGGGTGAATAGACCGGGAAGCAGTCTGGATGCTATCACTGCTGGAAGTAGGCCCTAAATATCAAAAATCTAAAGCCCGAAACAGCCACCCTAAAAGCCCTAAAACTCAACCCTTCAAGCTGGGGGTCCTTCTCCCCGATGACCTCTTGGAGGTCCGGCACGAAAAGGAGCTTTTGCCTGGTGCCCCTCAGGCGCCAAAGGTCCTGACTAGCGTAAGGTAGACATAGGTAGACTAGTGTAGAGCTTGCATATTGATTGTCAGCATGTCGTGGCGTGCAAGAACTTGGACCAGCTAGTTGTATGCACTTGAGATGTTGCGCATGATGATCCAGCCAACTGATCGTGCAAGCCTTCCACCAGGAAAACCAAACATCAGCTTCCCTAAGACAGTCTCTTTGAATTTGAGAAAATCGTTTGGGGAAGTCCTTGGACGGAACAAGGTCGTCATAGTCGTTCCTCAAAGACGAGGTGATTCAAGCTTCACTCAAGATGTACGGCGGTCATATCACGAAGTACTCAGCAAGAGCCCGATGATATGCCCAAACTGAAAAGGCTGGTCTGGCAATTTAGCAGGAAATGTCAGGACGGAGGCTTGCAATAAGGGCTGTAGGTGTGTTCTTTCACGGAAGTCCTCCTGCAACCAGCGTGCTTCCATCATTCGGATGTCACGTGAACTGCCTTGAAACTCCGATATTTTCGGCAAAACACCTATGTTCATTCCTCACATGGCCTTGATTAGGGCAGGGCACCCCGCAAAAAGTTCAGACTGAGTTGTTAATAACTTTAGGATCGCTTGTCTGTGACTTTGTTGTCCTGACACGAAAATTTCTGAAAACGGAACCGTGTGTGTTTCGACTCTCGCACTCGCACGAAGCAGGCAAGGACTGGCTCCAAAAGTGTGTGTTTTTCTACCTGGGCCCTTATGGTACTTTGTCGCCTCTTGGCATCCAACTCTTGGGGTGCTTCCGGCAGTCCAGTCCAGCAAGTCACTGCGCAATAAAACGTGTGGATCGCTCGACTGCAACACATCCAACATCTCAGAACATAGGCCATCAAAAGACATCATGCCATATTGAGTGTTACTCGAGTCGCAGCATGCAGAGCCTCTCCGAGCTGCAAACCCGGCCAAGGGTCGAGGTGTACGCAAGCCCCAAGTTCCACCTGATAGCGTCGAAGGCAAGACAAATGGTTGCCTAAAGAGTGGGGGGGGGGTCCGCCCAAGATCAGATTCCTTTGTGCGACCAAACTTCAACCTGAATCAACGCAATGAGCTAGCTCATCGAGAACAGGAGCCCTCAATTTCCGCCTCTCGCCGGGGCGTGCCGCGCGCATGCCAAAGAAAGCTGGCAGCGTGCGGAGCATGTCTGTGCCGACCTGAGGATCTGTGGGCTGGCTGCAATACAGTGCTCTCCAAAGACCGTGCCCAAAAACCTTTGTTAAGACATTTCTGTTGCTCTTGCTTTAGTATCTAATGCCCCCCCCCAAAAAAAAAATCTCGGGATTTTGGCTCACCCTCGATAAGCGGGAACGGGGGGTAGGGCGGGTAAGAATCGAGGGTTGAGGGGAAGGTTTGAAGCTTGAGGGTCTGAGCTTTCCAGGCTTTTTGGCTCCCTGGCCACGGGGGCTGCGGAATAATGCGGGCAACCGAAACAACATACTAAAGCGCATGAGGGCAGCTCGTGGGCTACTGCCTTGAACAATTTCTTGGGGGCTTGTTTCGTAATGAAAATGTAAAAGGAAGTTATATAAAGCCGGATTCCAGAAAATTCCGGAGTGTGAAGTTGAAGTCGTGCCAAGCCTTGAAGCTTGAGGGTCTAAGCTTTCAAGGCCTTCGCGATTTTTAGTGTTTGGCTCCCTGGATGACGGGCCACGAACTTCGCATCATTGCGGGTAACCAGTATCCCCTGTGTTTTTTTCCGGAACTTCCCTTTGGATGCAACATTAAGGCATTGACAGAGGAAACCAAGGCGGAGTTATCGGAGGGCTTGGACTGTTTAACCTTGGGCCTGCAGGCTTCATGTAAGCTTAAGGCGTCGGTGTCTTCAGCTGGTTTTGTGTCCAATTTCTGGTAGCTGAGCTGCAATGCCGCGCAGGGTCTTCAGATACTTGTTTGGGAGGGGGCTAAACAACACGAATGCAAGGCTAAATGCATTTTGACATGACCTAATTAATTGGGGCTCTGCAATGGAACCTTGCGTGCGGGTGGGCAGGCCTGGCCAACGCCCGAGTGACTTCTGAATGATGGTTACTGCAAATCAGAGATAAGCCTGGCGGCGATATCCGCCGCAACATCAATGTACAGCGCATCCGGCCTGCGACTAACAAAGTCAATAGATTCAAACCGAGGAAGCGCGAAATCCGGACAATTGCGGATGGCACCACACGATGCCGAGCGAAAACATCCAAGAGCCGTAGAGACCAGGACTGTGCCAAGCTGTGAGGTGTGAAGAGAGTCTGAATGAGTCTCAAAAAGAGCGCGGGACCGAGGCGTGAGGCTTAATACGCAGAAGGGACAAACATAACCCGCCACCCTCAAGTTACCTTGCTTTCAGCATGAGATTCTGGAGATTCATTCGAAGGACTCAAAGCACGGCTTACCTGGTTATGCTCCGCTCGCAGCCACGGACCTAGAGCTGCGTCTGCACCCGAAGCACCTGACGAAGCCCTTGTTGAAGGCAAACTTCATCTGCCCGCCTTGTGAACATTCGATTTAGGTGCTTTTGTGATGTGTCGGATGTTCAGACTGGCACATAGGCATAGCATGGCATAGCATTGGAAGTCACGAGATTGACAAGTCGAGGAGTTCACGAGGCCAGGCTCCGAGCCCCTGGCCGGTGTCGGGATCCCTTGGGACGAGATCTTCTTGCAGCCAAAATCCTCAGAAGCATCTTTTGTCTTGGCAATTTAGATCCGAAGAATTACAGCGACACACATGATGCCGCTGTGCTGCTCTGCACGGAGATTAGCATATCATCATCTAGCCGGCTACGACACTTTGTTGCTGCCAGAACAAGTGCATTTACCAAGGGGCCCTCAACTGAAGCTGCTTCCTGGGGGAGCAAGCCGAACTGCATGCGATGCAGCAGCCTTGGTGCCATCTTTTTGAGCCCTATGCCTTCTGTGGGGGGTGGGGCAGCGAGGGCTTGCAAGTGCTGATGGACGGACGTGGTTGCTCCGAGTGCTCCTTCGGGTGCGTCGATTGGGCTTTAGTGCACATGTGAGGTAAGCATGCCGCCAGCACTAAAAGTTCGCTGGAGAACAGCATACTGGCCAAAGTATCGCTTAGCCTTAGCGCATCCTTGGTTTTCTCACACGCGCTCTCTCGAGAGCTGGCCCACCACGCTGGCTATGGCAATCTAATGCACTTCCAGTAAGTAGTCCAGAAGTAGGGGCACACAGCCGCACCTCCTCTGGCCAACACGCCGAAGCACACAACTCTGTTTCTTTCCTAAAGGCTTCAATCCCGCTTGCCTGAATGTCGGCCATTGTGTGCTGAGCCAGTCTAGGATGGTGTAGTTGGTGGAGACAGCACCTTGTTTAGCAGAGCTTGCGGCTTTTGCCTCTGGCAGACGAAGAAGAAAAAATGCAACAGCTTATACCTACTTTGCAACTGCTGCCCCATTCAAAATGTGAAGATGCATGTACGTATGACGTGTGCGTGACTATACGCATGTAAATACGTATGCATATCATAGCGAGGATTGCCACAGGACCATCTTGTCTGATGAGGCATGGCTCGCACAGATGGGGGGACCGACCTGGCATCCAGGCTAGTTAGAAATCACAAATCGCCAAGCACCCGCATGAGCATGTGCACCATTTTCGCGAAATTAGCGGGGTGATGCCCACACACTAAGTGCGGGCAGGTCGCGAACGAAGGCTTCCTCAGGGCGTCGAGTCGTGGGATTTGCAGGGGACAGTGATGCCATGAACCTGCACCCTGTCGAACTGTCTGGGGCAGCAAAGCAAGCGGACCCTCAGAACAAATGCATGTCAACAATACTTTTGGCTGGGTACGTAGCAGTTGCTGCCGAATTGATTAGCGCGTTTCAAATTGAACCTCAATCAGGTAACTACAACCCTCGGCACACAAGATCTTCAGGTTTAAACTGATACAAGCCGCTGTCCGTGCTAGGCAAGCATTCTCGGCGGCCGTATCCTCTCGCAGAGATGCAGCCTGCCATTAACGTGCAAGACGCGTGTTCAGGCGTCAGCGAACCCTTCACAGAAATTGCTTTCGCCCCTCAACCAGTCCAGATAGACACTTCCAGGCCCCGCAGGCCAAAACTTGCTGTAACTTGCGCTTGGGTGTGCGGCTGCTTGCGATGCGATGCCGCTCCCCCAATTCATCATGATTGGTGGCTGCAATTGGACAACAGGTCTGCCTCTGCCATGGCCGCCCAGGCCGCTGCAGCGGCCATGCCACATCCTGTCCGCTGCTCTGACTGAAGGGCTTGCGGAGCTTGCCGCCTGCTTGGCTTGGATGGGCTTGGAGGTCTGGTGGTCGCTTAACACCCCGCCCCACACTCGCCTTCCCGCCAATTTCAAGCCATGCCTCGAAGACAGCCCACACGCCAACACTGGGCACCGGCACGCTTTCTTTTGGCTCTCTGACACGTGTGCTCGCTGCTCAATTGGCTCTCAGAACTCGTCATCATCTTCCTCAGGCAAAGCTGGGATGCAACTGCTGCGTGTGAGGGAGAGGCTAAGCTACTGCACCACTCCCGTCCAGCCGGTGGCCTGGGCGGCTTCAGCTTTGGGCTCCTGCAAGGCAAAAATTCTACCCCAGCAGGCCCAACAGGCCCTTTTCACATTGCAATGTGTTGGCCAGGGTCCTGCTGCGGTACTGCTGCAGAAAGCTGACAAGCTAACCAACTAGCTGGATTTCATCGGGAAGTACTTGTGGGTGCACAGCATCGTTCCGTGTCACGTATCTGAAGCTCAGGGAGATGTGACAACTTCCATACATCCCTTGAGCCCGAGCTCCTCTGCACTCTTGGCTGGCGTGGAGGCTGGCTCCTCACTGAAAAAGCCCCATCACACGACCTTCATTCCTTCACCTTGACCTTGACTATGCTGAGCTTCAAGTACCCTGCACCCAGACTCCGCAAGCACCCAACGCCTCACAACTATATTCACACTTAACCAAAGAAAGAAACGACATTCGTGGATGTTGGGCCTCCTTGGCCTTGGGCTCCGGTTCCTGGGGCAGCACTCCTACATGGCTACCTGGGGCTCTTGTTAACTCGATATCGCCCACGGCCCACGGCCTTCTTCGCGTCTGGCTTCTCTGCATCCCCTCCCTGCCAAGAGATTCAGCAGAATAGGTCTGAAGTTCGACCCCGCGGATCTGACTCGTCACATCTTTTGGTACACATCGGCTTCCAGAGGCCAAAAATCCACAGTGTTGAGAACCACGTAAGGACCACAATGGATGCAAGCGATTCTGCACATAGGAGGAACGGGGTGGGCGCGGCACGCACATGCGCGGCAAAAACACATCAAACGCCCCAAAGCGAGTAAGCTCAAGAGGTCTCAAGTGAGAATGGCTCTCGTGGGTTCAGTCTGAATCAGTCAGGCATTGTACAGAGATGCAGAGATTAGGGGTGATCAGGGCTGCACATACTGTTGGAGTGACATCCGGCTGGTGACCTCGTTCCACTCAGCCCATCTCGACGAACTCCGCAGTGGGAGTTGCTCTTAGCGAGTTTGGGGAAATCTTTGCTTGTCACGATCGCACGCGCACAGACGGCTGGAAAGGCAATTGTCCGGAAGTCACGACTACAAACCCCTCAGGCAACTCGACACAGGGAGGCGACAGTGCCACAAGGCATCAACAAGGGATACTGGCTCCGGCTTGCCCAGCCTTTGCTCATACCACCTGTTGCTTTAACATCTCCTTTCTTCGTTTATAACTTTGCGTATCCCGCTATCTATATCAGCGGATATGATTCTGAAAAAAGCGAGTTTGCTCGCTCTCATTCGCTTTTGGAACTTTGTTGGTTTCAGCCAGGTTTTTCCTTGGTGCCCACGTTGGAAAGCAGTTCGAAGAAAGTACGTAGAAAGTTTCAGAAGATGGAGAAAATCTTGCCCAAATGTACCGTAAGGGTTGTGCCATGCAGGCATCATCCGGCCCACGACAATAGTGATGCCTGGGAGACCTCGAAACGACGACAGTTGCGATGCTGCTTTCGACTTATCGACACCTTTGAGTATAGACTGGCGGCACGTACAAGGCGCTTCACACCAGAGTAGGCGATTGAATGTCTGGCAGTGTGGCACCTCGCCTCTTTCTCTGTACCAGCCTCTGCCTTGGAACTTTCGGCATCTCCCGATTTACCATCTGCCTCGCAGGAGCAAGCTGAGTTCACTTGCCGTGCTAGGGGTCAACTAACTTAGCTTGTCTTGGCTACGTCGATTTCTGCTGCCGGCAACAGAACCGGCCTTCTCCATTGCTCGGGGGAGGATGTACCTTGCAAAGGCAGTTCGGAAGGCCAGGCACGAAAAGGCACCAGCTGTTGATTTGAATCTGGAAATATCTTCGGTATCCATCTTCAGCTGTTGCACGCGGGAATGCCTAAGTACGAGGGGCAAGTCGGTGCATGCCCAGTCAGAAACCGACTGGCAACCCTCAAGTCAAAAGCACCCTACAACAAGATACCACGCCTCGCCTGGCCCTTCGACAGTGACCAACTTGAACTCTACACGCCTTACATACGTACACACCCCACTGTATACCTGCATCCTTGGAAGTGGGCCCCACAATCACCCTCGAACTAAACCAACTCAACACTTCATTGGCTCGGGGGACCAGTACCAAGCCGGCAAGATCGAGACCAAGATCAGAAGGATGCACACCTCGGGCTGTTACGGGCCTGTGGGGTGGGTCTTCTCTCTTTCTTATGTCCCTTCTTTTTCTTCAGGGCTGGAAGTTTTGCATGCCTTTCTGCGCACCCACGCCCTCGGTCCAACCTTTGCCAAAGCCCGTGCCTTTCGGGGCGTGAGAGCTGTGTAACGACAACGACCCCCACAAGTGTGTACCGTGCTCGGCTGTGAAGGGCGTGGTCTCCTCTACAAGCATCCCATCCACAGTTAGGGAAGAACATGCACCCTTGGGCCATCTTTCAACAAGTCATTGCCGCGCCTGGCACACAGTAGGTTCTCAGAGTGTGCAGTATGGGGGGGTGGGTTCCCCTTCGTCGCTGCCTACTTCGGAATAAAGAGTTGGATCAGAAAACCCATGTGGAAGACCCCACCCCGAAACCCAAAGCACTCAACTGGTGCAATTAATTTTCAGCGCTGGGATCGTCTGGTTGTCTGAGCACAAAAATACAATTCCCAGGCCTAACCACAAACCTCCAAAGCCCTCAGGCAGACAGGCCGAAACGACGTCTTCCCCCTCCCCACACACCACACAGCAACGCGTGCACAACCTCTACAAAGATCTACCGGAACAGAAACTAGAACAACAAGAAGTCCCCCCCCCTCAAACCTGGCGCATCCCTAGAGTTGGCCTTGCGGCACACTTGGCCCAAGCAAGTTAACTTCAGCCAAGAAGCAATGGCGGCCAACCGCCTTCGCAACTTTAAAATTGGGTTATCCCGTTCTCCCCTTTAAACGCAATATTGCAGCCCTCAACATGACAACCTGCAGGCATAATGGATAACATGTCTCTTGCGGGGCCTTAATGTTCAGGCGAACACGTACTGCGCAGTTTGCGAGTTCATGCGCCGAACAAAGCCGCAAGTAAGTAGGTAATGTGCAGGAGCGCTTTTTGCCAAACATATATATATATATATATGCACATCAGGCCCCAGTGCTTCAAAACGGCTTTGCTTCACCCGGGGCCTTTACAGGGTATGTGCACTTTAAGGGAGGTAGACGACTCGGCGCCGAGGGCGCATCAAAAGTCCGGACAGCCATGATCGTGAATGCCAGCGGCATTGAAGATCTATGCAAAACAGAACGCTGCCTCTAATCTAATACTCACACCTGACATAAAGCCGGTGAACGTCTGAAACAGACGTGCCTGGCGAGCGGGGTGCTGTAAGAAGCCGAGTACGCATCAATCAGCCCTTCGTAGATGGCCTCGGTTATTTCTGTCCGGAGAGTCGGTCATCAAACAAGCAACCGTCTCTTTAGTAAATGTGTCAATGTCTACCCAGGGTTGAACGGTGAACTGCCATTGCTGCCACACCAACACCAAGCCCGTGAGGGGCGACAGCGTACCGACAGGACTCGCTGTGTCTACATGCAGCGCAGCGCAGACTGCAAGATCTACAAACAGCACCTTTGGAAACTGCTCTAGGGCTGCGCACTCGGTTCCAAGGTCCAACATTGACAAGCACCTGACGTCTGCTTGGGAGCTTAGCGGCCACTTCCCAGCAAAAGCCGGTCTGCAGCACCCATGCATTGGTAAGCTCTGGGAAGTCCTCGGGGACATTCCAATGAACAATGATGAGCCGAAAGCGTGTGCAGTTCACCGGATGCTCTGAGGCCCAGTCCGAGGCATTCTTCCCCGACCTCCTGGCTAAAAAGAACAGCACCACAATGCCCACGTACACCATTACCTGAGCCAGAAAGAGTGTACTGCTTCTACCTCATATGTCGTCACGTTCGACCAGCAGGTATAGATACCAAGCTGAAAACGTTTGTAAAGCATGGCTACTACAGTAAACTCAGCAATTGTGCTTGGGCATTGGGATGGAAACATGGCCACCGAGGGCCTACTCAAAGAGGGGGGGGCATTGCTATCTGGGCAGCAGCCTGCGGCTCGATGGCGGATAACAATGGCACCCAAAGGCTCGCAGGCAGCACCCCTTGACAAACAATAGGTCTCCCTAAGTTGGATGCCGTGCCGTGAAGCCGAAAAGTTTGCCCTACTCGAAATCTCCTCGCTTGTAATACTCTTGTGTCAGGAGGGGGGAAGAATTCAGACGACTTTGATACATCGACCGACGTGCACATGTGAATTTTCAGACATATGGCGCCTTTTGGTCGTTCTGCACCCTGGCCGTTGCGATTCTGTAGCAGTAGACACAGGCACGATATTGCCCTCATGTCATGCACACGTGCGAATGCTGCTGGGCCACAGCCGACGTGACTGCCTGTGACCTGGGATGGAGGTCGGCTGGGCTTCACTAGGCCACAAGATCCAAAGCATGAAACTGGCACACAATTGCACCAAACTCCGGCAGGTCTGTACTCGGCCCAGGGGCATCAGTGCCGAATGCCTTCCGGCATTGTGGCTGCCATCAGGCCCTTGAAGAGAATACCACCAAGCCCACTGCACCTAAGGCTTCAGGGAGGAGGGAGGGAGGGGCTTTGCTCGCAAAGTTCCACTGCGAAGTGGTGCCGCCGTCACACACTCATGCTGCCTCGATCTGCGCGTTAAAATTTCGTGCGGCATGCCACGTTCCAAAACTCTGC